TCTCTCCTCCCCTTCTACTCAGATAGACTCAGAACATGGGCAAAGGGCCAAAGTCATCAATCTGTGAAGTCGAGTTTTAGAAAAATGTTTCCATTACAGAATCAGTTTTTAGAATCAGTGTAAACGCCGTCGTGTTTCAAAGATTTGAAAATAAACTAAGATTCCTGTTTGAGAATAAAAGAATTCGGCTCGTGATTGTCATAGAGATGTCACTGTTTGAATTGATGGGAAGGCATGGGGGTTGGTGAGGCTTTGGGGTTGCAGAGCTTGGCCTAGTTTCATGTCTGATCACTACCGTATGCACCAAAGATCTCGCCCTCCGCTGCAGGTAGTCAACGAGTGCAGCACAGCGCACCCCGAACATCTGTGTGGTACAGCAGCCATGGAGGAGTTTCTTTGAAGAGCTCAGATGGCTTTTAGTGATGTGAAAAGAGAGAAGTAAATCAGAGATTAGAGAGTTCTGTGCGGAGGATGAATGCATGAAAAGGTTAGGGGTTCATACTGTGCCGTGCTGTAGAGCAAACAGAGATAAAAGGTGCACAGATGACCTGGAAATGGAAAACTCTGGAGATGCACACGGCGAGAAGCTTCGGGGTTCAAACCAACTGACTGCAGGTGCTCCGTTCCGTAGAATACTTTTGTTTTCAACTTGTTTCATTTTGATGTCATTTTCAGTATTTTTATGTTATCAGGTGAAAATATAACGAGAAATACATTTCGTTTGACTTCTGAGCTTTTGTCGTTTTTTCTCATAATGTTCCTCATTAGATCCTCATTACCGTAATACGTTCATTCTGTTCGGATTTTAAAAATGAATAAATTAACAGAACAGAAAATTAACAGCACTAAAAATTAAAGCCATGATGTAGGCCTATATATACTTTACCATTAAAATAATTTTTCTTTCTCGCTAATTTTATGGTAATGAGAATGAGATTTTTTTTTTGCATTACGGTAATGAGAATTGGGTAGGAATTTGCAAATAATGATTAAAAAATAAAAAATATATATAAAAAAGTATTATTATTATTAGTTTTTTTTAAAAAAAATCATATTTTTTTCTGATTTATTTATTTTACAATTGTTTACATTTTATTTTTTACTTCATGTCTTACCTTGTTCTTTTGATTTTAGAGTGAAACCCCGGCCCGGTTTTGTGAGATTCACCCTATATGTTTCAGTTTTGCATGTCAAAAATTCATCTCGACAAACATGCGAGAGGTGCTTAAATTTGTTTAGATGTTGTGGAAAAACTGCACACAATATCTAATCCACAAATACACTCCCCCAAACAAGTGTTTTTTGTGAAACAAAAACGAGTGCATATGGAAAACACACGAAAATAATACTTACGCTCTGTTAAATCACATAAATACACGCTGTCATGAATAATTTCCATACACCAATTTAATGTTAATTGCATGGTAATTTCATTGTATGCTTCAAATTGAGTAGTATAATATTATGCCAAGGAAACGTTACAATAGCAAAACAATAGTCTTTATTCAATCTTTTTACACAGATAAATATTTTATACGCTCACACAAATGTATGAATGATTAGCAGAAACGTGTGAAACATATGCTAATTTTACTTCTACATCTGGCGTTAATTACAGACAGAGGGCGGAGGATGGCTGGAAGGAGGATTCAGCAGAGTATCTTAGATAATGAATCCTACCATGCATGGAAACAAGATATTATACCAAACCATCACGGATTTTTTTGTGTAAATCCGTCACATTTCACGGACACTCTCTGATTTGTCCTGTTTGCCATATTACGACCGCCTGTGATGACAAATCAATTGTCCATCAAAAGAGAAATCTCAATCAAAAAAAGTACTTATCTTTTTGTTTTATAATCCCTGGACGACTTTCGAAACCACAAGTTTTTTTTCTTCTTTTGTCTATTTTAACCCTCCTTTCTACATGACCCACTGCATGCTCTCCATGTCAGGCCCAGCTGTTACTACAAACTACTTGGAGATCGTACAAGCTCGCTAATTTCTCTCTTGAAATCCCACTGTTCGCTGTGAACCACAATCTGATCCATAGCAGTCGGCTCATTTGTCTTTGCTTGAATAACTTATAAACTATATGATGTATAGCCTATGTATGTATATAAATGCACCATGCACGCATGATCAAGCACAACATTAGATATTGTATGTGGTGCTCTTTCTGTGCTTGTAAAGGTATGTGTAACCCAGCTGTATTCCTTTGCCTTACAGCTCCATTGTCCACCATATAGGACCCTTGGGGCTAATTATTGCAATTTACTGTGCCTTTTGTTATTTAAGGAAGATCCATGATATTATTAACTAATTTAGCTCCCCCCCATCTGAAATGGTTAATTTTCTGCCCTAATTTGGCTGTTTTTGTGTAGTTTCTTAAAAAAAAAAAAAAGAATAAAACTTTGAATTTATTTGTAATCTTTGTTATTAATATTAATATTATTTTTCAGACCACACTCTTCTCAGTCTTTCAATCTCCATAACATTTAACTACACATTTGGCTGTATGTATACTACTGACTTTTGGAATTTAAACCCCTTCATGACATTTTCCATGATCTTCACCAATTTTTAGACTACAGTCTTTGCTTTGGTTGACCTAATTTGTAGGATTTTTTCTTTTTCTTTTTGGTTGTTCCTTTATGTAGTATATTGGAGTGGAATGAAATCTACAATGAACCGAGACTGTAAGTGGAGCTTTGACTTGTACCCCTTCATCTGTTCTTTCCTGCCATCATCCCTCTCTCTTCTTCTGGCCATGCTGCATGGCCTCTCGTCCCATCCCCCCACTACACACTCTGTTATGATCCCTGTATTCTGTGATCCCATGCTCCTCTCCCCCCCCCCCCCTCACTAGACCAGCTCTATGAATCAGCCACAGGGAGAGACGGAAACGATTCTGTGGTTGTGGTAAGATTTATGGCTAGAAGTACATGCTCAGTAGGGCAAAATGTTTAGCGTGATGGTTAACTTAAACGTGGATTTGTTGCTTTGGTTCCACATGCCAGCTTAGTTCTCTAAAATATGATATATGCAACTTTGCCGAGTTTTTGTTTAAATTATATATTTGTTATTTATTGACCCAGAATAATTGTATAGGTATTTCAAGAATGTTAAATATATTATTTAATATATTTTATGATTATGTTGGACAGAAATGTAATTTATTACTGTTGACAGTTAAGTGAGGCAAAAAATCAAAACATTAAAATATCAGCCATTTACTGAAATGCAAAGCTTCTGTTTGAAGGCTTCTTATTGGATCAATAAAGGTAGACGTCATATAATGCTTGCCTTAAAGGCACAGTATGTAAGTTTCGCTACTAGATGTCGCTTATTCAAAACAATAACAAACGCGTAGTTTGATGACGAATGAACGTTTAATCTTGGAAGTTGTCGTCTTCACCTCCACGGTCGATGGAAAGCAATCCGACGGGACTCAGACAGAAATCATGTTCATCTGTGAGCTAGTGTATTAAAGTTTTATTAACGTTACTGCGGTATAGAGGAGGGAGGGAGCGAGAGCCTGGGACATTTTACCGTGCTGTTTTTATTATGCTTATATGCCAAAAAGCTACATTTAACGTCTGCCTCCTTTTCCCCAAACTTGAACTTTATTACAATTGTTAATTGATCTCTTAAATTCACAATATTTTATTTCACTCTAATAAAAAAGACTCAAGTGCTGAATCACTACTCATGTCACTTTATCTGGTGAATTAAAATTGTGGGGTAACGCAGCGCTGTTTTACTTGGTCAAAAAAATCATACTAAAAATATGTTTGAGTGTGTTGAAAGTTATGTTAACGTAACTCTGTGCATTTACTCGGTGGCTGTTATGAGACAATTGTTGCACATTGCAAGCTAGATCGATATTAGAACATATTAATAAATGATGGATTAATTGACTTGTGTTGCTAAATGGCATGCAGTTAAATTTAAAATATATTGTATGGTGGAGAAAATGCTGTATTAGGCTACTACTACAAATACAGCTTATGTTAGCCACTTGACAAAATACTGTTGTCTCTGAGGCATGGTACAAAAATCGCGGTAAGAGATTCAAGCAATATGACTAACCTGACTAAGGTATCCAAACAGTTGCTCACCTGTCTAATAAACAATATTAAAGCGCCTTTGGTGTTTCCATGGTTTCTACGGAAGTAAACCTAGAATCGAGGGTAACGTGGTCATCACACTGACGCCGTTACACAGGTTAAAATGGCTGATTTCTCTGGATTTAAACATTACACAAGTCAACAAAATATCATTGTTTTAGTGGTTTTGGAAAATTTTAATCCACAAATCTTACTATATTGTTCCTTAAGAAACAAATGGGCCTGGTTTCACAGACAGCTTAGATTGAGCCAGGAGTAGGCTGTGGTGCTTTTGAAAAAAAAACATTAACATATGTCAGTGAAAGTTAAGACAGCTCAAAAATGCTTGGCTTAAGCTTTGTGAAACTGGGCAATGATCTAACTAAATTAAGTACAGATAGTTACAAACTACCAAGTCGTTACTAAGCCCCCATTGAGAATTTATTTATTTTTCATACAAAAGAATATAAAACTCTTAAACAGTCCTACAAATAAGTATTTTTGAATGTTGAACCATTAGCGTTTATTCTGACAAAAATGTGCAAGGTAAACTATTTTTTTTTAAAAGTAATATAAAGTTTCTGCGCCGGATTATGAATACACTTTAACGAATGTTTTTAGCCACAGTAGCGATACACCGCGCGGGCGTCCACGTTAACCAGACTAATAAAATGATGTCACGCAGGCTGTGCTTAGCCCCTTCAGTCAGCCTCACTGAACACACAGCGTTCGTCACGAAATGGGCGGGTCTAAGGTGAATAAACGTGTAACTATTGGACATTCCATCTGCCTATCACTTCTTGTCGCCTTTCTATTGGCAACTAGCATGCGGGTTTATCTCTCCATCTCTTGCTGCTCTTGTATAAATGCCGCTTACTTTTCTACCATCAACCTCCGCCGGAAATAATAGTTCCTATTATCAAATCCTTTTTCCTTAAAGCATACCTATTAAACCTTGACTGACAAATGATTAACAACCATTGTGCGCGTCCTGACTCATCCGTGCATTTTAATCCGTAGACCTTGTCGAAAAAACTCTTGACTCCCCTGGGCACATGAAACTGGACACCCGAGCGTTTGAGGCCCCTCTTTCCATGCGGAGGAATACATTGTTGCTGCTCACAATGTGGATGGAGGTGGTCAAGATGTCTACTAGAAGAATGAATTCACCTCAATTGTAACAACATAAAGGAAGTCGTGGCGCGGGATTGTTTGGATACAGACTGCAACATTGTATTTGTGACGTTTGTGTTTTGTAGGAGGATGTCAAAGAAGGAATAACACACATTGTTGCGCCTATCAGCCTTTAATGCGCCGTGCTTCAAATTCTTTCAAGTTTTATGTTTTTTTCCCTGCGAGATTCAACCCTTCTTTTTTACAACTGGATGTAATACAACTGATAAACAGAGGTAATGCTTTTTGGTTATTTTGTAGTGTTTTACTGGGTTACTAAGTTGAATAATTTTAGCCTCTCATTTACATCAGAGAAGTCACATAATTGCGTATTGAAGTTCAATTTAGCAAGTTTTTGGGATGTCTGCTTATGGAAGTGGGGGGATGCAGAGTTTTTTTTTTTTTTTTTTTGCTTGCTTAGTGGCTGTGGTGGTGGTGGGAAGTCCTGCCCAGTTTTGTGCTGGTGGTCTTTAACCCAGTTCTATCCTAACAGAAATGACTCCTTTGTCCTTTTATCAAAGTAAGGATTAGTTTTGTGGGGCGCGTATGAGTTGAACTGACTAGTTAAGAGCGAGAGCTGTCAGTGCGAATTTAATTGACAAATTACTAATGGCTGAAAGTTACATATGCTACATTTGTTACACTTGTTAAAATGGATCACTTCCTACTAAACTTGAGCACCTAGTTGTAGTACGTTGTATCCAGGTTTGCTTTTCGCAAAGCCTTTGGTTAATTCGGTTACTTCGTTGAATATTTTTGGCAGGAAATTCCTCGTGCCCCCACCCCCACTCGCCCTCATCAAATCGCGAGTCTCTTGAGGAAAAGTTGACATTTTGTCGCGGTACTTTTATTAACTTTAGCTTTATCCCCAGCCAAGCTCGTACGTTTATCACACAACACCATGAATAATTGAGAATTATCGGCCGGACGCCTGGTTAATATTGATAATAATGCCGTGCTTATCAAAATTACGTGCGTGCGATCGATGTGGCCTATCGGTTTTTGAAATGGTTTGCTATCGGAATACAATAAGTTTACAACTGAGAATAAATATTGACATTGTTCATGTCTGAGTAAGCTTAGCCCTACTTACACAAAGAAAGGGACGTGACTAAACACTAGTTCCACTTTCAATAATTCAGATGTTTTTAAATAGGCTAGACCTTATCGTGGTAGCTATATTTTCCGTATTTTTATTCATAATGTGGATTTAGTTCGGGTACATTATGGTGCCTAGTCAGTGGCAACACTGTTGCGCTCTCTTACGACTAACCCCCAATAAGCAGCAGTGATGATAGCAGACTAAAGATACAATTTTATTTTAAAGCCACGAAATGCCTTCCAAACGCTTGTTTTCGGTGTCACCTCATCCGTTTATTATATTTTACCATAGGTGTGTGTGTGTGTGTGTGTGTGTGTGTGAGAGTCAGGATAGGAACCTGTACCGTTAGCGGTGGAAATCGTAAGGAATTTAACGATTCTGCTTCAGTTTCCTCATAATGATTCTGGTTTCCTAATGATTCCTTGACGAATTTAAAGCTTTTGGCGAAATAATGTTTTGAGTAAAAATGCTACACCTATAACAACAGTCTATTGGCAAATTGTGTGGACATTTCAGATTTAAACAGAACCGGAATAGATAGGCTATAGGCTACATGTAATAGGCTACACTTTTTGCAAAGGTGTGTTCACACTTTTACAGACTTTTAGAGACACCATTAATGCAATTCTTTAAAATCGGGCTTAATTCTAAATGCAAAAAGTAAACAAACAAAAGGTAACATATTTCATTAATTTAGGCCTATGATGTGTAGGCCTGTCTTATGCACGTTGTCATATGAACAACCAGTCAGTAATTATGCTTATTTAAGTCAGCTTCATTTCGAATCAGATATAACGAAAGTAAATCGTATAAGTGAGCTAGATTAATTCATCAACAGCACCGACTGATTCATAAGTATTGTTGATGCACGACACAGAACCGGTTCATAAGAATCGTTCGTTCGAAAATGGAATCACGCTGGTTGCGCTGTATTTTCCATCACTTAAAAGAATCGGCTCGTAGAGTCATTAGTTCAAGAATGGGACTAGTCTGATCGCGTATTTCATGCAGTAGATTCAATAATAATAGGAATTGGAAAAACTATCAGAATACGGTGATCTGCACGCTTGAGAACTGTTATAGGACATGTAGCCTACGTCATAAATCATGCGTGTCCATTTTTCATATTGGGCTATAGGCCTAAAAAGAACCGGTTTTCGATTTCCAACCCTAATACTATGGCCTTCACCTCGTACGTCAACCAGCAGGGCTGACCATAGCAGTTAAAACGGCTCCATGTCTTGTTTCTGAGAAATTTGTCAGATTTTACATGGAACCATGCCAGTATACTGAGTGAAATATATTTTTTACGTGTGATTTGGCTTTGTTTTGTTTTGCATGGATTTGGATATCTTTATTGTCTTTTTCTACTGAGGGGCTACATGTTTTTATTCAGCTGCTTTTGTTTGGGAGTCAAGAAAGCAGTGTGAATAAAATGTTATTTGCAAGGTGTAAAAACACTTTTATTTTAGCCATTGGCTTGCAATAGTGTTATAATCAGACTGTTGATGGGAAAGGCTAATAAGAACTGCTAAAGCACACCACCTGTTGGCATGCTATAGCGTACAGTACTCCTTAAAGGGATAGTCCACCCAAAAATTTAAATTACCCCATGATTTTCTCACCCTCAAGCCTTCCTATGTGTATATGACTTTCTTCTTTTTTAGACGAATACAATCGTAGTTATATTAAAAAATGTCCTGGCTCTTGCAAGCTTTATAATGGCAGTGAATGGAGTATGATATTTTGAAGTCCAAAAAAGCACATCCATCCATGATAAAAGTAATCCATTCGGCTCCAGGGGGTTAATAAAGGCCTTCTGAAGTGAAGCGATGCGTTTGAGTATAACTTTATCAACTAAAATAACTAGCTTCCAGCATAGGGCCTGGAAGAAAATAGAAAGAAGAGAGTCATATACACCTAGGATGGCTTGAGGGTGAGTAAATCATGGGGTAATTTTCATTTTTGGGTGAACTAACCCTTTAAAATACCACTGAGAAAAGTTTTTCTTTTAGCAATGTTTGACAATTTCATTGTATGTGATCAAATTAGCAACTTTTAAAAACATTTTACTCCAGATGGAGGTTGTTTAAACGTTTTCCTCTTTGTTTGATGGTCTCCTTTTATGCAAAACTACTGGCCAGATAACTATAAATCATACACAGGATAGAGATGTACAATAAGTTAAGAACACTGATTTGCATTTTCCATGTGCTGATTGTTTTATGGAAACTGATTTATTGCTGATTTCATTTAGTTGCATTGCTGTCCTGATGTTGCATAACACAACAATATTATTAAGAGTGATTGATATTACAAAACTGGTTGAGGACCCATATAGAAGGTCTGACAAAAAATGGTTTTATTTTTTCTTGTAATGCTTTTCTAGCCATATCGTTGTAACGCAAGTCTAAGTGTAAAACATACAGGATGTCTTTGGCCAAATTTATTATCAGGCAAGTTTTAGATTTAAGATTGAATTGTTGGACAAAGATAATAACTTGGCACTGTTGTTTCGTGAAACCTCCTCAAGCAATGCATAGTTAGTTAATTAAATTTAGTGTAGTTTTTCAATCCATGACAAGAAATGTGGGACATGCAAACGCTGGTAAGATACTCTTGTGAGATATGCATATTATAAGTACAATACACTTCCACTTCTATCTACTATTCCATACGACGACACTTGACTTGCACTTCATCACTGCCTTTCTCATTCATCTGGTCTTTAGACGGCTCGCCACAGCTGTCTCTTACTCTGCTTTTCTCCTGCAGGGTGCTTTAAAGACCGAGTGGTATGAACGAGGCGCACCAGAGAATGGCTACAGTGGGAACAGATAAGGAACTCAGTGACCTGTTGGATTTCAGTGCGGTAAGGAAGAAACTGGAGTCTGTCATTGATCTGGACAAAAACTGCTTTATAGATTTGCATCTATCCTTATTTTCTTCTACAAAATCTGACCTTGGAGTCAGGGGTTATCAGTTTTTCTTCATTCCTCTTCGGACTGATCACATCTCAGGTCGCAACGCTGAATGTATGGAAGTGTTGTTGGTGGCTATAAACATGATAATGGATCATTAAATCATGTGCAATCCTCCGACTGGCTCCTGAGAAGTGTGGTTTGCCATTTGAAACGTCTTCGGGATAATAACCATCATTCAATCCTCTCTAATTTTAACATCTCACCATTTTTTTCTCCTTATCCTTTCATTTATTATTCTCCATTCACCTGTTGTTAAAAATGGATTATTCCTGGCGGTCATGCCATCCTAAATAGCATTAAAAAAAAGCGAATATAAAAATGTTAATCGTTTGATTCATTGGATGGCTCGACCATGCTTAATTTATTGCATTGGAAAATTGCCATCTACTGAAGCAGTGAATCAATTAAGACAATACATTGATAATCAGACGTGCCAGACCAAATGCATTATGATCTCACATCTAATTACAAATTGTTGATGGTTTAGTCACTCCCTCATATCGCATTAATTTTCCAGCCTTGAACCTTTGCAAAAACCGAAGGATTTGCGGATTATGCATTCAGAATCTTCTTTCTCGTGGTGTAAAAGATGTTTCACATCATGAAAAATGTCTACCACACCAGAATGTCCCTCACATGCACCATGCAAGGCTGGCACTGTTGCTGCATACAAGTTTATCTTTGCACTTCAAAAACAGAGACATCATCATATATCCATATAACCTTCAGACCTACAAATTCTTTGTAGTTTAAGACAAGGATGCATCTTTAAAAAGCTGTAGGCTACTACTTTATGAGTTTTTTTTTTCTTTTCAGATTGATCCATTTTAGTGGGTTATATCTGGCAAAGATGATGTGACCTTAAGCATTAAACGTTTGAACTAGCTAAACTTGATGTCACATTGTGTGAAGCCTAGTGAAGTGAGTTTGCTGTGATATGCTACTATGCTTAAACTCGATCTGTTTCTTATTTATCTGTTGTAGATGTTTGCGCCACCTGTGGCTAATGGGAAGAACAGACCAACCACACTTGCTAGCAGTCAATTTAGTGGTTCAGGTAAATATTCACTACTAAACGCATGCCTTTTTTTGCTTGTTCAGAGAGAAATGTCACATTACTTTGGCCATATTTGTGCATTTCATGAGTTTAAAGTGGTGTTTTTTTATAGCAGTTGAGGTGTTTGGGCTAGTTGCTAAGTGCTTACTCCTCTCAACAGAGCAAGAGAACATGCTTCTTCTTGTTTTCCTAAATCCCCTCTTTTATGAATACACTGTAGTATATCCAGAGTCAAAGCTTGGGGCATTTTTGCATCCCTTTGAACTGGTTGTTCTGTTGAAGCACCTATTGCACAAACTTGTACATCATAAAAACTTTGTTAGGTCAAGAGGAGGGACTGATTAGTTGCATTGCTGTTTGTAAAAATGGTTGAGTCCTGAACATTTTAACAGCCCAAATCTCATTGTCAGTTAAAAAGTTTGTATTTTGCTTTGTTTCTATGTTTGTCATCTTTTTCTTTATAACCAGTTGCACACCCCACTATTACATGTTATTTTTGCTGCCATTGTTGGCTGGTTTTGCTCCAGTTAAGATTGTTTCACAAGCTGTCAAAGGCATGAACGTCCCATGCGTTTCTCTTCAAGTCTTTCCAGCCTGTCTGTCTGTCTCCCAATCGACACTCCAAACATTAGCCTTGAATAAGAACAATCTGAGAACAAAGACTTAAATAAAGGCCTTACGGTCTCCAAACGATCCCCCCACCCCACAGCATAAAACACTCCTCCCCCCACACAAGAAAACACTTTCTCCCCCTGCCAACTGACAGGAAATGGACCTACTCTGCAACAAAGCTCTCTCATACCTCCCACCACCCCGCAGGAGGCCGCATGAAAACAGCAAAAGAAACACCGTGAAAGATCACCAGCTTCACTCTCGGTCTGTGGTGGCCTAAAGTGCCAATTACATAGCAGGGCCAAGCTAATGTCTCAGTTTGAGATTTTTATTGCGAGAGCTACCTGACACCGAGGTGACCCCGACTCTTAAATCTGTCACTTGGGAGATGCTTCTAGAAGGTCTCCACATCAGTCAACATAAACCTCACCCTGTAAACTCTATATAACAGGATATGACATGTTCTCAGATTCACTATTGAGAGAAAAGGTCCAAGGGACAGTTCTACAGTAGTATTTAGTGTAACTCTTAAAGGAAGGGTTCAGCAAATCTTAAGCTCTGTTGGCATCATTTCATGTTCTCGTTTACCACAGAAAATAATTGACTCTATCCTCAGCTTTTTATTAGGAGCATTTTAAAGGTTTTTAAATCACTTGCGTTTGTCCTTAAATTGTATTATTTGAACTGTAAAGTTGTCAGTTTTTTGTTGAGACCACTGTTCCAGCCAGATCAACTTTTAGTTATTCATCACCAATGTAATTTGTGTTTTTGGAGTCGTCTTTTTGTTTTTTTTTGCAAACAAATTGTCCAAAAGTTCCAGGATTTATTGACATTAATGGTCATGACAGTTTTGTATATATGCAAGTTTTGTATATATTTTGCACAGGCAAGGTTATTATTTGCAATTTATCAAGTAGTCTTGTGTTAAAACGTATGTTTTACAAAACTGTGTATTTTAACATTTGTGTTGCCCTGTACTTTTTTTTTTTTTACTTTTAAAATACTATGGGACAAGTCATTTTATTGTCTGTGGTAACGTGACAAATTCTGTTGATAGAGCTTGACTTTTATTCAACCCAAAACATTCCTTAAAAATCCCAAAAAAGTGTTGTAACATAAGCTGTGATCTTGAATTAAACCTTTTTCCTTGCATGGACTGGATAACTTTTCAGCTTTAAACCGTGATTTACAAATTGGCCAGTACTTAAACTTCTGACTGTCCCCTATGATTCAATATGAAAATCCACAAAGTAAGGACATGTTTAGAGGAAGCAGTGGCCTTCAGAAGTGCATCTGTTCCTCAAGACAAAAGTGCTCGGAAGGGTGCTAATTGCATTAGGCCATCTCCTCCCCCCTCCTTGGGCATAGCCTTGCTGTTTGCGGGAGTTCTTGCATGGGAGGACTTCACCAGGCGTCCTCTCGGTCACCTCCACAGCTGCCCAACACGTCACCCACTGAGGACAGCGTTAGGACAGGACAGAGCCCATTTCCCCCCGGTTACACCCCAAACATGCTAGCACATTTACACACACACACACACCTCAAGTCTTTATGACTTCACATTTTATATCTGCTGCGATCTGAACATGAATAATGGCACATTGTGGAGCTGATGCATTTGAAGGAGTGTATAAAGGAAATGATCTTTCCTCAACGCAGGAAATGGAATCAGTTCCTGCTTGACTGAATGTCAGATTTGTCTTTGTAGAATTGCATTTTGATGCTTGCAGCAAATAAGTGGCCAATAACTCAAAAGATAAATTGCATTGTATCCTCACACAAAGCCACGTTGTATATGCAAAACCAAATCTGACAGAAAAAGCACAGGTTTAGTTAGCTAATACGGTCGTTCAAATTGTCAGTCCTACTGACAAATGCCATCCAAAGCCATTCGCCATGTTAAACCTCTTAGATGGTCCTTCTGCATCTGAATCCGTATCTCTGCCACTTCAATTTTTCCCCACATAAGATGATTCTGCCAGGGAGATTCTTTCACTCACTCAGTCAGTGCCCACTTCATTTCCCATGCTGCCTGCGTGGGCTCCATAGATCACGGCTGTCAGCGTGGATGTCGCTATTTGCTCTGCTTTGTTAGCTTCATCACTCATGCTCAGCCTTCAGTGGCCGCTCTGGCTGAGACCCCCTCTTCTCTCACACATTTTTAATTAGACCTAAAAAAAAAATCAAAAGGAGAATATGAATATTCATAAACCAACCGCATTAATATGCACAATTATGCAAATCAGCATGCAATTAAGCCATGTGTCTTTGGAGAGCTTTGCATTAAGGCATAAGACAGGAGGCAGAGGGGAATGCTTTATGAGGAATTTCTGCTCCAGTACACTTTAAAACGTTTCCGCAATGTTTTTGAATATCCATATTTCTACATATAAAGCATATTGATGGCAATGAGAAGAACCTTGTACACACACTACATATCCTGTATGCCTTGTTCTGAGACCTGTGTTGTCCCTATGGGTCTCCACTCCCAATTGTACAATGATGCTAATTTCGCAATTCTTTGATCAGCCTGTTTTTGTTCTGCTTGTCGTGATATTCCTCCCCCCAACTTGTCTTAATGAGATCCAGTGACTGAATGAATGCTCCCTTTATGGTCAGTGATGTTGAGGCTTGCTGAATGACATGGATATTAGTGTGGTGTGATGGTTTTGGATGAGATCCAGAGACTGTCTGACAAGCACCGAGAACCAGCCGCCAAATGTCCAATGGCCTTATTGCATGATTGGAGAATTAAGAAGGATCTTGATGGGAAGGTTTAGTGCATGCCAGAATTGGAGAATTGGTCTGACAGCTTGTGATCAATTGCTTTGTAGGTATGGAAGAGCGCAGTAGTACTTGGGCTGCCGGAGATCAAAACAGTCCATCTTTTAACCAGGTACGGGCAAACCCAATGCCTTGTTGGCCGTCTAAAGGTGTTGTTGGGACATGTTTTATAGTTTTGACCTGCTTCTGTCTTTGCTTTTCCAGAGCTATGGAGAGGGTTCGCACTACAATGAACATGATGGACTATCTTCCCCATTCCTTGGCACAGGGATTAGTGGTGAGTTTTACCAATGTTTGGTTGGTTGATCTCAAAGCCGCTGATGTAGAAACTGCCCCATGGGTTGCCTCGAGGTTGCCCAAGGTAAATGAGCTCATTTTTGGCCTCACCAAATGGATTCACTCTCAGAAGTCAATTCACTCGTAATTGACTTGTGATTCCTCCAATCATTGTGACTTTTGGACATATGTATTTGTTAACAACAGCCGCTATTTTTTTACTCGTAGGTAAGAATGAAAGGGGTCCATACTCTTCCTTTGGGGGCCAGGTAAGTTGAATCATGTCAAAGAGCAACTCTTGAAAGTGCTTCACCTCCTTGATATCATTCTCTCTCTTTTGATCCAAACCCACCAATCTGTTGTTCCCTATAGCCGGGGTTCTTGCCCTCAGACATCGCCATGCCTTCTGCAGATGCCATGTCACCATCCGGTCTGAAGTCAGGCTCTCAATTCTACCCTTCATACCCCAACAACCCCCGAAGACGCCCTTCTGATGGAGCCATGGGTAAAGAACATACATCACTTACTAGACGTGTGTTGGATCAGTCAATATTGAAAGAAAAAGAGTACCATGTCTGTTTTAATCTTTTCACAGATCCCCAACCAAAAAAGATCAGGAAGCCGCCAGGACTGCCATCTTCAGTGAGTGACCTTTCCTGAATATTCTATCTTACCAATGTTTCCCATTGGAAAGTTTTTCATTAAGATCTCGATTTTAAGATATCTTGTTTTTAATTATCAGGAAAGTTCTGCTCTTTAGCAATGGCTGATAAGCTTACCATAAGAGCTTAAGTACGTAAGAATTATATAGTGTCCATTACAGGAACTTTTAGAGTTGACTTCGGTATTTGTGGCATCTAAAATGGTGTGGCATCTGAAATGGTTTGACATTAGTCCCAAAGCCTATAGACAAGGGGTGTCACTGGAGGAGCACCTTCCTACAGAGTTTAGCTCTACAACAGAGTTAACATACATGCATGAAAGGGGTCGCCCTCCAGTAGTAGGATTGGACACCCCTGCTATAGATCTTATTCGGAGCAGAAGCATATTTAATAGGGCTGTGCTCAGAATATCGATACAACGATACCGCGTCATGAACTCCTGCCGTATCGATACTGTTGTGCTTTTGAATGTAGCCAATCAGGGCTCGAATTTCGGCGCGGGATTGTGGGTATTGGGCATAATTTGAATCATTCCCGCAGCTCTCCCACATATAATGCGGGAAATTCCCGCAAACATTGATTCACTTTAGCATGTAGGTTGTATTAGAAAATGAATCCACCCAGATTATAAAATCAAATCAGTAATTTAAAAACTTTCTGCGAGACGCAATTTCACAAAGAGCGTGAGTTCAATGGTGCTGCGTCTTCTCTCTCGTCTCTCAAAACGGGCTGCTCAAGGCAAGCGTCCAGCGCTGCAGCCGGTGAAACTACACGCTCGCGTTTAGGAGTCGGGACATGACGGAATATTCACTGCTTAATCGGGCCAGCATTGCATCGTGACTAAAGTTTACCATTTGCACGTCTTTAAGTCTTAACAGTTTAAACATTCAAACGATTTTAAACTATTCAGCACTTGGGCGCTCTCTGAGATTTGGTTTTCTCTGCGTGCATAGGCCTACATAGACTGGAGTAAAGCCGCCTCACATACAGCTTGTGAGATTATATCGCTTTAACAGACTAAAACACACAAAATGATGTCAGAAATTTCGGTCTTGGTAAGTATCCTCTAAACACAGTTGGTTATGTCTTAAATAAGCATACAAGTTTTTAACAGAAACGGCAATTCCCCGGTTGTATGATGAAGTTAAGCGAGATATTCTGCTGTCACTCTCTTAACTCTGAGCCCTGAGCATGTCAATCAATTGTTGTTTCTGCATAAAAATCTGAAAATGTAATCATTTAAATTGATTTCAACGTGGAAGAAATGACTTTGTTTTGTGCACATTCCAACACTTAAGACCTGTTAAATCCTAGGTGTTTAAAAGAGTTTAAGAAAACTAAGTTAAATTTAAGTTGTTAACGTTTTTGCTTTTATGGAATGTTTTAAGTTTTGTTTAGTCATTGAGCAGTGTAGACATGCTTCAGTGTCACTATAATTGTCATTTCAGTTATTGATTGATTGGTTATTCAATAAACAGAAATTACTGTTACTAAACTTAAAAGAAATTTAAATTCCAAATTGATATCGTGATACGTATCGTATCGTGGCTTTAGTATCGTGATACGTATCGTATCGTGGCTTTAGTATCGTGATACGTATCGTATCGTGGCTTTAGTATCGTGATGCGTATCGTATCGTGAGATTGTTGGTGATACACAGCCCTAATATTTAATATGGCGTGAACAAACAAGAAAAAGGCAGTGAGTGTTAGACATAAGAGTCCTCCTAAAAGATTCTATTGATGTGTCAATCGTTTAGCTGACAAAACATCCTTCCAAAAACATTCCAGTGGACAGACTTTTGATTGAACAGATTTCAATTAGTGTCAAAATAAGGAGACCTCTAATATTTCTGAACCTTTGGTCATTGCAAGTCGACATTAACTTGAGGAAACATGCAAGTAGCCATACCCCTTTCCAAACCACTTCTTTTGAGTAATGGGATGCGTAACTGTTGTTTCATAGTCTAAATCCACATTAGCTCAACACTTTGCCCTCTAAACCCTCTCCCCAAACACGATCCTACAGATTTGCCCATGCTAGACCTTATCCTCCCCCTCTTCCAAAGTGACCCAGTTGTGAGTCCCGTTGCACTTTTCTCTCCCTCTCTCTCTCTCTCTCTCTCTCTCTCTCTCTCTCTCTCTCTCTCTCTCTCTCTCTCTCTCTCTCTCTCTCTCTCTCTCTCTCTCTCTCTCTCTCTCTCTCTCTCTCTCTCTCTCTCTCTCTCTCTCTCTCTCTCTCTCTCTCTCTCTCTCTCTCTCTCTCTCTTTCTCTCTCTCTTTCTCTTTCTCTCTCTCTCTCTCTCTCTCTCTCGCTTGTCTTAGCTCAGATTAATGGCTTCTGATGAGCTAGGGTTCTAGCTCCTGCTGAATCCCACTCTTTAGCTCAGTATAACTTCCTCTTGTGCCGCCACAGCATTAGAACACCCCAATGATTGCGCCAATGCTCACCTGCTACTTTTAGCATGCATTAGATATTTTAAGTTTAAATCCAAATTTGGCTCAGCACTAAAGGATATTGATCCTTAACTTGTCTGGGCTTGCCTCGATCTTGTCGAGTGCACCAACAAATCATTGTGAGGATGTGTTTCCTGGTGAACTTCAGAGAAGAGGGCCATTCGTAGGTTTTTCCCCTCCCTCATTTGTTCTTTTATGTGGTTTCTACATAATCGACCAGTCTATTTTGCTCCACTCCTACCACTTCTTCAGCAAGACCTCTCCCCCCACTGTTCTCACCCCTCCCCTCTTCAGCCCAGCTGCCTGTGGAGTTGGACGGGCTCCAGGAGTAGGCAGATGGCTCTGTAATTAGAAGTGCATCTCTCCATTCCCATCCCACTTCTCCCTGTTAAATCAAATTACAGGCAAAAGAGAAATATCGCTTTGCTGGATTTGTATTCTCCACTGGCCCTAGACCCACCCGCCCGCCGGCGCCCCCTCCCTCCCAAACACTCGCTCATGTATGCGCACATACAGACAAACATACAAATCATACATGTTAAAACGTGCTTGTTGGTGAATACGCTGTATGAACATATGCCTCGAGGCTCCTGTATTCAGACGAGTTTCCGACCATCATTCAGTTCCATTTAAGGCTTCCTATGAAAGATATATATTGTATATTAGTATAATTTAGTTATATAATTATTATTATTAAAAACAAAACAAGTACCTGGTTTTTCCATTTCAGTGTTATGGGAGATGTCATTACCCAGTGTGCTTAGCTTGATTTGGACTCACTCTTAGTGATTGTGCTCCCTGTAGCTGCCCTCCCTCTCCTTTTTTGGCTCATGGGAGTGCGAGAGGAAGCGCCGACTGTGCCATGAGATGGCCGTGGCTTATTTCCCAGCATGCTCTGTTCTCTGTCCCTGCCACTTTATCTGAGGGGGCACTATGGAAACACGCGTACACGTCATTTGTACCGAAAACCACAAAGTGCTTGCCAGCTTCATGGGCTCCATACCAAGTTGCGCATTCATGTGAAAGCGATTTGCCTTGGTTTTTTTGTCCATATGAACCCTGTTACTATATGAATGTCATGTTTCTTCGTGTCCTTCATGTACCTTGTTTATAAATGCAGGTTTATGCTGCCACCTCTGGTGATGACTATATCCGTGATGGTGCTGCCTACCCGGGCTCCAAACCTGGCACTGTGTACCCAGGATCTTTTTACATGCAAGGTGTGTACATGGGGAAATACAATTATGCAGAAGTCTGTGCCACATCTAAAAACCCAATCTCCCCAAGCCCTAATGTGATGCTGATATTAATTGGTACATATTATGTTCACGCAGACATGTTGCAAACAGATTATTAATGATTAAGCAATTATCTTGTAGTTTTATTTGTTTAAAATTAGGAACATGAACAAAGGCAAATGTGTCTGTGGATTATGATAGGATGTCTGCACAGGTTCTTGTGCTGACTGGTATTGATCCTTCCCATCTGCCTTTGTGTTCGCAGAGGGCCTACACTCCTCTTCGGACCCCTGGGCCCCCTCTGGACCCTTAGGTCAGTCAGGATACACGGCTATGCTGGGGAATTCGCCACACATCAATCAGCCTGGCTCCTTCTCCGCAATAAACGCACAAGACAGGATGGTATGGCTTCTGAAAGTTTTGAAGGTTTTGGAGAAGGGCTTAAATTTCAGAAGCTCCAATCACTGTGTTTGCCTCTACAGAACTACCCTTTGCATGGAGCGGACGTCAATGGTTTCCATTCGGGCACCACAGCCTATAGCCACTCATCCTCCCTGAATGGATCAGACAGCATTTTGGGTAAATTACCTTCATCGTTTTAATTTAATGTCCTCTAGGTTGTGAAATGAGCTTGTAATTGGGTTCAGATTGGATCTTAAAGTTGATTCTTCTTGTGAAATCAATTTTGGTCTTTGAACTTGAACTATAATTGAGGAAATGGCCTTCAATCTTTCATTCCGATTTTGAATGGTTATTTTTAGCGGATTAGCAAATTATGGATCAGCTGAGGAGACATGACATTGATGTAATAAATGAAGTTAATAAGTTCTCTTATTCTCCCCCACAGCCAATAGAGGCCCAGTTGCAAGCAGCTCAGGTGATGAGATCGGAAAAGCTCTTGCTTCGGTGAGTGAGCTTCCATTAATCACCATGAAAGAGCATTTGGCCATGAGAAGTCAAAGGATTATTCAGACTTTCAATGATCCTTTCATTACAGATTATTATTAGCCATATAGTTGGAGGTGTGCAGAGCTTCAAATTTGACTAAATTTACATATGATCCGTGTGTTTTTGATTGACAGATCTACCCTTCGGACCACAACAGCAACAACTTCTCCTCCACTCCTTCCACTCCTGTGGGCTCCCCTCAGGGCATTGCAAGTAAGATACGCTGTCTTATTCTGTAAAAGGTAGATCCGGTTCATTAGATCTGTTTGTGTTGATGGGTACCAAGACAAATATGTGAATGCAGAAGAAGCCAGAAGAATCGTAAATCATTCCCTTTAGATTGATGGGCTTTGTGTAGGCCGAGATGTAAATATGAAGCTCTAGAGCGCCATCTTGTGTCACAATGGCATTCCACATGTTCCACACTAAGGCTTTGTGTCGTGTTCTTCTCAGCAGGTGCAGCACAGTGGTCGAGAGCTTCTGGCCAGACTGCTCTGTCTCCTAACTATGAGGGTGGACTACATGCACTGGTAAGTTTAAAAAGATCCCTTTTCAATGGCTCAAGTGTCACTTTTTGATTGGGCATTATTATTAAATACTATTATTTATATATTAAAAATCTCCATTTTTAAAATACCGTATGATATAAAATTTCATGTATTTTAGTTAAATATCAATAATATTTCTCCACAGCAGAACAAAATGGAAGACCGACTGGAGGAGGCCATTCACGTGCTCCGAAGTCATGCGGTGGGTCAGGCCCCGGGAATTCCTGGAGCCCATGCCGACATGCATGGCCTACTGGGTGCCGTCTCCACATCCAGTGGATCCATGGGGGGTCTCACTCAGACCTATTCCAACCCAGGACTGCCCCTAAGTAACAGACACCCTGCCATGGTTAGTGTGGAGACATAGTAGTATGATTCAATGAATAACACAAAATGGCATCTGTGTAATCATCTTTTTAGTGATTTAGTTTATTTGGATGCAGTATTCATTATTAGTATTGCTTACAATTTATTTTATGGTCTCCTTGTTACAGTGTAATTACACAAAAGCAATTAGTAATATTAATTAACATGTACTCACTATAGGGTTTGGTTTAGGGACTGTTGCTTGTAATTATGCATAATTTACTGTTGTTACTATAGTAAGTACATATAACATGTAATAAAGACACTAAAATAAAGTGTTACCTTAATATTGTTTAATACATAATATATGTTAATAATTCATATTCATGTCAAATATTATAGTATTAGTATTTAGAAGTGTGTGTGTGTGTGTGTGTGTGTATACTAGGGCGGTCAATGTTAAATGCATGTGATTAATTCAAAATCGCTAACGCCGCGTTACAATAATTTAACGCAAATAAATGAATGAAGCATGCGAAATTGCGTCATTAACATAATTTATGTCACGCAGTTAGATGATCTTGGGAGTCGTGAGTTTATCACGCGTAGCATCTACAATGGCGCAAATACCTGTAACCCTGTTAGGCGGAAATTTCTATTTTAACCCCTTGACCCGATTTCGCTTCTCTGTTTGCGATCAGATCATTTTAAGCCGCTAAACTCCTGGAAAGTTTTCACTCCAATGATCCAGTAAGCAAATTCATTCAAACAATCAGTCCAAAACAGCGCTAAAGAAAACCAGGCTGATGGGATCAGAGATGGCAGAGAGAATAGAGACTCACGTTGTGTTTTCAGTGAATTATTCATTTTAGTGTGTGTGTCATATTCTGTGATTGTTTCTGAAGAGCGTGAGCCTTACGCATCGCGCTGTGTGAAATACAGACTGAGCTGAACGTCAAAACATCCCACCGCTGTATGGCCGGATGATACGCAAAGTATCTTTCTTGGCTGGATAAAGCAAACCAGCATCTCGCTAGTAAAGTTTTGATGGATGAGGATTGCAATCAAGGTAAAGACAATAGCGGTGACGTACAGGAGTCGTACAGTAAGCACGCGTGAGTCAATTAAATTGATTCGCAAACATGTGGTTCTGTTCGGTATCGCAACTGGACTTATTTAAAATGTAAACAAGTCTAACTGTAGCACTGTACACTGTTAAATCTGAAAAGTTTTTTTTTCATGGGTGCTTTGTTGTGCATACATTTATGAATTTTATGGACTCCTTATAGCATTCGGTTATTCGGTGTTCTTTTGGAGGCTCAAAGTGTCCTTTTTTTTTGAAAGACACCTAAATTTACATTAAAAACAATGTGAAAATCACCTTTTTTAATCAAATGGTTTACTTTGCTGGATAAACAGGATAAATAGTGTATGCTTAATTTCACAATAGGTCTGCGATTAATCTCACAAAAAGGTGCGATTAATCGCTATTAAAACCTTTATAATATATATATTAGGGCTGGCGACTAAAGATTTTTTTATGTTGAGTAGTCACTCGTTTAAGCCATTCTACTGGGATGTTTATGATATTAATTAGTTAAATATATTCTTGGGGAGTGGCATTGGAAAATGGTTTCAGTTTCAGGGCTGAGAAAGAATATTAAATGTTCTACATTACAGAGAAATTCGAAACCATAATAATGAGCATTTAAGATATAAATTAAGCTCTCAAGCGCATGCATAAAGCTTGCTCCAGTGCAAAAGCAATGATCCTTAACTTAATAAATTAATTTATTCATTATTAATCGATTTCTGAGTCCGTGTCGGCTGCAAAGATGAAGTTGACGATGCTGATTCGTCATCTCCACAGTATAGTAGATGCGCCTTTAGAGAGAAATGCATGTCAAGTTAAGCATGTAGTAAGCACGGTACTAATTTAGCTTTCACACTCCGCACGAACACTTGGATATGCGCCTAATAATATTTATCTAGGTTAACATTAACATTAGAGCGAGCGGCCATGTAAAGTGGCTAACGTTGTGCTACTACTTGTTTCAAATGATGTACTAAATTTATTAAAGTTTTATTCTGCTACTCTGGAGAAATTATGCAATCAAATTTTTAGTGTGTGTGTGCATAACTTTAATGTATTAATGGTCTACTTTTTGTTACTTTTTCAAAATCGCAATACCTTCGCTTTAGTTTAACAACTATCAGTAGCTACAGTTTCAAATTAGCATCCCAAAGAGTAACAACAGGACCGTAGTTTAGATCATGTAACACAAAACAATAATAATGCACCTGTGGGTATTGATATGTGCTAATTACTCTCCCTTGTTGCACTTGCCTGCAGGCTGGAAGCCATCATGACGACCATGCCTGCCTTCCTCCCAGCAGCACCCTGTTGCAGCCAGCTCATGCTTCAGGCACCCCACAGCCTGGAGGAGCACCGGAGGGTTTTAACAGTGAGCAGCAGTTTCAATTTCTCTTTCTGAACCAACCCAACATGTAAACAACAGATGCAAACCCTGAAAGTTGAGAGTTAGTTTCAGCGTGATGCATTCGACTGTTTTCTGTCTCTAGATTCGAGTTTGCCCGGAGGCTTGGCCCACTCCACGCATTCGTCAAACAAATCCGACGTTAAGAATGAAGACAAGGAGGATGACGAGAACTCATCTGTGGCTGATAAGTCTGAAGAAGAGAAGAAGGAAAGCAAACAGTCTCGCACCAGATCAAGGTACATGTTCGCCCCATAATACATAAAAATGGCTGAACGTTTTCAGCACTCTGGCACATGATGGTTTGAAGCAAGTCTGCATTGTCTTAAAATGATGTACTACAACAAATGTCTAAATTTCTGTCTGTCTTCACATCGGGCCAGGCCTGATTTCAAAGTGTTTGGGCATCCCCAACACACAAAGTACCATGTTTTATAGTGTTCTCCCCTCCCCCATTTCCCAAACTCTCACATTGTTTTCAGAAAGGAGGTGTTTGCCCATCAAGTCCTTTCAAGTTTATCAGACCAGGGAGACGAGTAAGTCTATCTCCCACCATAGAGTGCATGTTTGTGAAAGACTCCGGATGCTCACTTGATCGCTTTAAAACATTAAATGTCTGAATGATATTGTGTACTAAATGAATATACAGTGTGCTTCCATTGGCTTTTAAAGCCATTGAAACACTATAAGATGATTTTGACACAGGTGGGACGTTTTCATGAGTATGAACTAGAATCGTAGGTCTTTGAATGTGCAAAATCAGCAGACAAAGCTCTTTTTTTATATAAATCTTTTAATTCAACATTCATCTCTTGATCTAAAAGGGGTTAGTGATGTTTATATACTACCAGTAAAAAGTTTTTTCATTTTTATTCTTTATCTGTAACTGACTGTATATTGAATAAAGGTAGGTGAATGCTCATCCTACGACGATAAGAAGCATGACAGGAGAGAGGGAACTGTTCAACTTGTTATAACTGGTTTGAATGTTCACATCCACTGGCATCATTCAGTTTGGACTGAATATTCTACAGCTGTGGTAGGCCACGAGGTATTAAATGTGGTCTTTATGAACACCTGAAGAAAATGGCGGAGCAAGTGGCAGTGAAAGTGAAAGTAAACCACAACCAGCTGCATACTTGATATAAGTTTCAGAATAAAAGTCCTTACAATATGCCACATATATGGAACTAAGAACATGATCATCATCATGAAATAGTGAAAATGATAAAGACAGCAAAAATATGAAATAACACAAATTAAAGTATAACAATTATGATGTGAAGTGCATGCTGGGAGTTTGCATGTATGCTGCTTTTCTTCACTATCTGGTCCAACTCATGCAAAAAATACAGGCAATTTTGTAAAGAAATGTATTCAGTTGTCAAAAGGTTTGGGGTCAGTAATTTTTTTTTTTCTTCTTTGAGATCTTTAAAAATCTTTTCTTTTGAACTTTCTGTAAAAATATCAGTTTTCACACAAAAAAATAGCAGTACACCTGTTTTTAACATTGATAATAATAATAAGAATTGTTTCTTGAGCAGCGAATCAGCATATTAGAATGATTTCTGAAGGATCATGTGACACTGATGACTGGAGTTATGGTGCTGAAAATTCCGCTCAAAGAGAAGACAGAAGATTTCACATCAAATGAAATGAAATGAAATAAAAAAAGTTATTTTAAATTGTAATAATATTTTACAATATTACTGTTTTTTTTGTGTAGTTTTTATCATATGTGGCCTTGGTGAGGATAAGAAACTTAATACATAAAAATAATACATAAAAATACACTCTCAAATACATTAAAAAATAAATAAAAAAAATTTACCAACCCCAAACATTTGAACAGTGGTGCATATAGACAAAATATGTTTCTACTAAACTAATTTCATGTATGCATAAGCCTTTAGATCAAAAGGTATTTATCACAAGAAAACATTTATGTCAGGTGTGACCTAACATTTTACTGGTACAGCTTTAAGATATTTATAATGGTTTACAACTTTACATCTAATATGCTTGAGCAGGCACCCTTTTTTTTACGCATTATTTATCTTTTTTTATTATTATTATTTTTATTTTTATTTTGTATTTAAAGCAATTTTTTCTTTAAATTTATGAAATGAAATGTAAATGTTATGTCATTGTCTCTCTGCAGTCTAGACAATGAAGAAGATGATGAGGATTTGCCGCCAGAGTTGAAGGTCGAGAGGGAGAAGGAGCGACGAGTGGCCAATAACGCACGAGAGCGACTGCGCGTGCGTGACATTAACGAGGCCTTCAAAGAGCTGGGCCGCATGTGCCAGCTGCACCTGACCAACGATAAACCCCAGACCAAACTGCTCATCCTGCACCAGGCCGTCAACGTGATACTAAACTTGGAGCAACAAGTCCGTGGTATGTGTTTTCATCCGTATTATTGATTTTTCTGTATCTAAACATAACATTTACTTGTATAATGTGATTCTGAATATTCATGGGGAAATTATAGGCTGGGACTAGATTGTGAAATATGGTAGGCTTTGATAAAACTGATTTGTCCACTTGGCCTTGTATAGGTCAACAGAAAATTCATTTTAAAAGGTATTACATTTAAAAGAAGACTTATTTTATCAATGAAATGCTTTGTTACATGGACAGCTATACTTTTCTAAAAATCGAATACTTCCTTTTAAGTGAATCAACTGCTGTTCATTTAGCATTTTTACATTAATTTTTCATCCAGAACGCAACCTGAACCCCAAAGCAGCTTGTCTGAAGCGACGTGAAGAGGAGAAAGTGTCCGGGGTGGTTGGAGACACTCAAATGCAGCTGTCCGGAGCACATCAAGGCCTTGGAGGAGATGGACGCAACTCTGTCAGTCACATGTGATCATGTGGTACGTTAATGTCCATTTATACATGGCCTCACTTTGTGTAATAGGTTATGCAAACACTTTCTGTTCACTACTAGATATTTCCACCATTAAATTATGAACATAAATAGTGTACAATCAATGGCTACAAAACCTTTTCAGACGCCAAAAATAAAGCATGCAAGATGTATCACTACCATATCGATTGTCTGCCAATATTAGACATTTTCTTTTATTTCTTTTATTTTATGTATTGGTCAATATTGTATATTTAATTATGCATGTTCATTACCTTTGCCGTCATCTTTAAAAACACTAATAATTTGATAAATGTATCTTTAGCCAATATCAAAACCACTATCCATTTTTCATACTGTACAATATAATGTGATGCCTAAAATGTACTTGTAGTATTTAAAACTATTTCAATTTGGTGTTTTGTTTTTTAATTTATTTAGTCAATGGTATAGAATTTGAATATCTGTTATTTATCAGCCATGACATTTAAAATACAGGGGTTGGACAATGAAACTAAAACACTGGCCAATATTTTGTTGGAGGTTTCATGCCTATATATACGTGGCCAATCTTTACTGATTTTACATTCCATCAGTAAGAACAGTGTGAAGGTTAAATTAGCAATTGCAATCCACACAACATAATGGGAGAAGTATCGGATTTCAAAGAGGACCAATTGTGGGTGCTCATCTGTGACCAAGTCATCCAGTCTTTGTGGTGTATCAAGAGCCATGTTATACAGGGTAATGTCGGCACCACCACAAAGGACGAACCACATCCAACAGGAGTAACTGTCGACGCAAGAGGAAGCTGTCTGAAAGGGGTGTCCGGGTACTAACCTTGATTGTATCCAAAAAAATATAAAACCACAGCTGCCCAACTCAATGCAGAATTAAATTCGCATCTCGACTCTCCTGTTTCCACCAAAACTGTTCATAGGGAGCTCCACAGTGTCAATATTCATGGTCGGGCTGCTATAGCCAAAACTTTGGGCACTCGTGCCAATGCCAAATGTCAATTTCATTGGTGCCAACAGTGCAAATCTGTGGATAATGTGAAACATTTATTGTTCTCTGAGTCCACCCTCACTGTATTTCCCACATCCGTGGGAGTTACGGTGAGGAGAAGCCCCAAAGAGGCTTAACATCCAGACTGTTACGTGCCTAGAGTGAAGCATGGGGTGGTTTAGTGATGGTTTGGGCTACAATATCATGGTATTCCCTACTGTGCTTGATCAGCGTGTCACTGCCAAGGACTACCGAACCATTCTGAAGCACCCAATGGTTCAAACATTGTACCCTGAAGGAAGTGCCGCATATATCAGCATAATATTACACACAGCAAGACTAGTGACACATTGGTTTGAGGAACATGAAAGTGAAGTTGAACATCTCCCATGGCCTGTACAGTCACCAGATCTAAATATTATTGAGCCACTTTAGGGTGTTTTGGAGGAACGTTTTCCCTCAACCAAACAGTGACCTGGCCGCTGTTCTGGAAGAAGAATGGCTCAAAATCCCTCTGGCCACTGTGAAGGATCATTCGCAAGACGAACTGATGCTGTATTATAGGCTTCAAAAGGAGACCCTACACCATACTAATAAATGATTGTGGTCTAAATCCAGGTGTTTCAGTTTCATTGTCCAGCCCTTGTAATTATATACGCATTGGTATAGAAATCAGTCTTATTTTAGTATATTTATTATTTTTCCGTTTTCATAATTGTTTTGTGCTTTTTTTTTTTTTTTTTTTACTTTAATATATATATATATATATATTTGGATTTATATATAGCTTTCATTTTTAGTAGACCTACTGTACTTAAGTTTTATTTAACGATAACATTAATATAAATCCCTCAACATGGCTGTTTTCTTTCCTTAGATCCAGTGAAATTTCTTGGGGCTCCTGGAAGAAGTGACCTTGAATCTCTTCCACCGTTCTCATCCTCTCTGTGCATATCGTGACTCGGAAAGCATATCATCCACGAAATAAAGACATGCACCCTTCAAACCATTTTGGACACATGAACCGACCCGCCAAAACTGACACAGCAGATTTTGTCCGTGATCACTCCAGACCGCAATTACCAGCACAAATGTGAAGAACTCTTTCTCAAGTCGTTTTGTATTTTTCTGCTTCCCAACAACGATGGATCATAGGAATAGACACATTCTGACCACAACTGACATTTTTTCCACTGCGGAGAGTTTTGATCGAAAGACGAGACAAACGTCAATTTAATCATGGATTTGTGCCTAATTGTTACGTTTTATATAAGACGCAAACTGCTTACTCGTGTGGAACAAAAAGTTTGGGAGTTGCTTGTATATGAGCAAGTCTTTTTTTTCTTCTTTTTTTTTATGTGGTTTGTCATTCCCTACTGAAAGGTACAGTCTTACATGCATTGTGTAACCAAACCCCATGAGAAGTGGGGCGAACCTGTGGTGCTTTTGAGGACGGCATTTCCTAGCAGGCCTCTGCTCTGTGGGCCAGGGCTCTTCCAGAAAGGGAGAAAAGCACATGGGCATTCGCAGCTCTCCAGACTGTTTCATCTCTTTGGAAATATCACGCATCATCAGCTCTCACAATGCTATTGACAAGTTCAGCCAATCGGAAGAAACTGCTTCAGAAAAGGAACATGAGATTTTGTTACAATGACAACAAGGCTTGGATTCCATTGCATTTCCAAGCACGAAATTGCCAAGTTGACCTTTCACCTCTTTCCTTTCGTAAGCCCTTTTATTTTTTCACCAGGATACGTTCAGTCATCACTCGCTCGCATCGTTGCCAAAAGTCTGAAAGTGTACACAAGTCCACCTCATGCATATGTAATGGATGTTATTTCGATTTGAGAAAAAAAAAAAGTAAGAATATATATAAATATATATATTTTTTTTAGTCTATACATTGTAGATTTCTAAATAACAAAAACATATTAGTTTGAAGTGTAGAGTCTATAGCGCAAGTGAACGCTCCGATGCGCCGTACGATTTCAAAAGAGCCTGCGTATATTTTCAGAAACGCAAGGTTTGGGCGAGGCGACCCACCCTTAATTTTATCCCAGGTGCCCCCCAATAGCTCTATGCTCATGATAAAGGGATTTGATAATGATGATTGAAGGCGTGTTGAGGTTTAAGACCTCGTGATGGTTTCCTGATTTCAGGGAACTGTACGTCACTAGAAGTGTTCTTAGGCAATGGTGTAGTGCGTAAGCAACATTCGCCATCATTTCAGTCTCGCCAATGCACATAATGCAATTTGTTTGAATGTTATATTTAAATGTACACGATCTCACGTCTCCATCAGACTGGCTTACTGTGAGTTTAGTTGATCATATTGTCATTTCAAGGTGTAAGTCTCAACCCGATTTTTGTCATGTGCGTGAGATGATGTTCCCTGATGGTTTGAATTATGTATGTATGAAAAAAAATGGTGTTATAACCTGTGTAATTGTCAAAATGTCCACAATGGATATGATTTCTGAGTAATAACATTTCACCGTAAGGGGGATACTGAACTTAGGTTGTCCTAAAGTATAATGGAAACATAATATTAATTCTTGATAAATATAAAAAGTTCTTGAACATTTATATATCGTGGCCTTCTTATTCTCAAGACTGTCATTTTTTGAGAGTGATGCCTTGTCAGTGCCTAAACTTACTTTCATTGTAAACTTGACCATTTGTTTTATTATTTCAAAATGCAAAAATGGCTCATCCATATTTTTGGATTTGTTTTGTTTCTTTCTGGAAGCATCTGTGTTGTAGTATTTAATCTGCAATTTAGAAACATTGTAGTCTTTCATCCTCATTATTATGCTGTGTGTGTGTGTGTACCTTTTTGGCAATTTTAGGATTCTCTTCCTGTCATCTTTGGCTCAACTAGGTTGGAATTTTTATTTTATTTTTGCTTTCGAGACGCTAGTGTCCTGTGATCTGTGAAGCACACCAGAAAATTGAAGGATCTTGGTCGATTCATCAGATGGGGGCCGGAAACGCTAGACTGTTATTCTCAAGTAATTTTTGTATTATCCATCTGATACCATCTCAAATGCATGTTCATTTTGAAAGTATCTATAAAATATGAGTGCTGGACTTGTTTTTGCCCCCTGCTTAATGTTTTAGATGCTGGAGGAGTGTTGTCATGTCATCATGGATTTTCCTGTCTGAAATTACTTTCTTTTTATCCCTGAAGCATCTTGAATGTCCAACTGAGTGATCATTTTGAATGAATGGTCTTGCGCCGAAGTAAGATTGCTGCCATGATTTCCATCAGAATTAAGAAGTGTGTGAATTTTACAGAACCTGGTGTCTTGCAGTTGCAGTAGGGACATGAACAATACTGCTGTTGTCTTCAGAGTGCCTCCGGTTTTTGTCTTTATTATTTTTCGTCTTTGTTTTTATAAATATATATATAAAGTAGGTATTGAGAACTGTCCTGTATATAACAGTAATGTAGCAATAAATGTGCCATTTTTAATAACAGAATTATACATTTTTTTCAATGTCTTGCTTTGGATCTTGTATACCTTCAAATGAGTTAAATAAAAGAAAACATTGTAATAAAAGTCTTACCATTGCGTGTCTTTTGCGAGAAATGCTGAAGAGATAGCTCTTACCGTTCACACTTTTTCTTTTTTCTTTTACAGTCTATGGTTCACACCAAGAACGGTAGTTATTATAACGATAACTATTGCATCCACACCAACGGACGATATTCTGTTTATAAACGCGCGCTGAAGCTTTAAATCCTCGCGCGCTTTAAAGGTGGATGCTGATTGGCTGGGGGAACAGCTGTAGCTTTTTGTAATAGAATTAGAACGTTTATGATAGCTTTAAATTTATGTATTGTCCTTGGTGTGAAAATAACTTAAAAAATAGTTATAACAGCATTTTTTTACGTTTATCTGTGAAACAATTCATATGAATATCTTTTAAAATTTGAAGTCACATATTTGTGACAACTTTTTTGTTATTTCTTAGAAGCGTTGTTGCCAGGTAACTTGTAAATAGATGGACTGGTAAAGTTCGGTACACGCTTGTGAATCTGTGCTCACTGTTATTTATTTTATTTTTTACTCGTGATAAATGCCTTGGTGCATTATTCAAGTCAATAAATTTGGCATCAGCAGTATTTTCTTACATTTTCATTACAAAGCCTTATTTTAAAATGTTGCCTAACATACACTCCATAAATCTAGCTGTTATGCAAATGAGCAGTCTGCACAATTCCAGAATTTTCTATCAGGCAGATAACGGGCAGCCTGGGGTCCTGAAACAGCCATTTCAACTTGTTTACTTTCTGTACAGAGGAGGTCAGTGAGAAGATGCAAAAGATAATAAAGCTGATCGGACCTAAATATGTCTCAATTGCCAGAACGTGGTATGTTCATCCTTGATTTATTGAATAGTCAAGTTAATTTAAGAGTCGAGCAGCTCCTGCCATTTAGCATCCACTGTTATAATTCTGGAATGGCATAGTAACTATTAATTTATTAGTAATTATTTCTTTTTTAAATACTTTGTTTCTGTCCTTGCAATCCAGGTTCCCCACGCTGGTCGGATGGGGTACAGTTGGTGGAGTGGCTGTTGTCTATTTCACAGACTGGCGGCTGATTCTGGATTATGTTCCCTATATTAGAGGGAAATTCAAGAAGGATGATGATGACTAGTTGTCCAACTCCTTATCATGGAAATGCAGAACTCGGTTGTGTATTCCTACCGGGAACAAATATATTATGCGTTGATCCGCCAGTAGGCGGCGCTGGTGATGCGACGTACAACCAGAATGACTCAAGAAGATTGTCACCTAAAGATTTAATTTTTTACACTGATATGTTTGAATAATGTTTTCGGTGCCCTAATGGGTTAAATGGGATGTTGACGTGACTGCAAACAACTAGCATGTCTTGCTTGCTTTCTGTCTGTACAGGGCTGATACTTGGGAATGGGAGATGATTATGTTTCATGGCTTGACACATCACCCAGTTTGAGTTTGCATATAAAATGTTGTATTTACTTAAAGTGTTATTTTGTGAATAAATTCTTTCTCTATGCATGTGTCATAACATTTTTTTGACAAGTACTCAGATCAGATGGCACAGGTCCATCTCTAAGATGTCGGCTAAAGAGCGCTTAGTCTGGAAAACTTTCCAGCTGACTGTTTGGGGGTCAATATGAGAGTGATTGTATATATATATATATATATATATATATATATATATATATATATATATATATATATAAAATGTTTTAATAAAAAATTATCAACTTTAGAATAATAAAATACATTTGAGAAAAGTAAATAAAACCAACAAAAAATCAGCAATAAGCAGATATGAACAGGAGTGGAAAGTGTGTGCGCTTGTTCATTTGTGTAGAAATTTTCAGATTTATGCAGGATTTATAGATTTTTTTTTGTTGACAAATGAAAAATAAACAACAAACTTTTCTCTCTTCTTCTTTTTTACATACCCTGCAGAACAACCGAATCAAGCTCAGGTTTTGTGTGTGTGTAGAAAGATAATGTTGAAAAAGTCACAAAATCTTATGCAACTGAGGGGAACCCTGTTTTTTAACTGGAAAAGTCGATTGGGGTCATACTGACCCCAAACACCATGGCTGCGTCCGAAATCGCGTACTTCCATACTATATAGTATGCGAAAAACAGTACGCGAGCAGAGTAGTATGTCCGAATTCATAGAATTCGAAAAATAGTAGGCGAAAAGTACCCGGATGACCTACTACTTCCGGCGAGATTCTGAAGTGCGCATACGATGGACACTTTACTATCCCATGATGCCACGGGAGAGGAGTTGTTGTCGTTATATTTGAAAATGGCGGAAACCGGAGACGCGGGAGTTTTCAAGTGTAAGTACTATAAACACTTTTTGTTTCTTTGTGGTTAAATTGTGTTTGTTTAACATCATATAAGTAAACGATTGACTTGTTAAACGTTTAAATAATGAAAATCGCTGGTACAATTTTCCGAATTGGCTGCAAAATGACAATTTTATCATTATTATTATTACCAAACAGAACGAGCTAATGCCTGTCAGCTAGCTAACGTTAACTCTGTTTTCTTTCAACAAAGACGTTCGTTGTTTCGCAGTTAAATTAAATAGTTACAAAACTTTTATTTTTTATTTTACAACGATCTTATTCCTTCTTTACCTGTGTTGTTATTATGAAATATTTGTTGGCTAACTGTACATAGCAAGCTAAGTTACTGTTAGTGTACTTCAGCTTGTCCATGTAACATTAATAGATTGACCATGGTTCATCACTAATGTTAAATCCTGTGTTGATGTTGCAGGGGCTGATGAACACACGCGTGCATTGATTGAGTGGAGAGTGGCTAATGAAGCCCTCTTCACTGGAAAGCGAAATGCTGCTATAAAAGGTTTTGAGTAAGTATACAAGACAAATGGAATATGTAAAAAAATGTTCAAGTGCTGTAGATTCAATGGTAAGTTAGTTGTAGATGTAAACATTTCTACTCGAGCTCTTACTGCATTCCTTATATGCTTGATTTCTGTGCATTTATTGCAGAGTTTTTATCACAGAGCAGAGGCTAGAGGGCAAAATGTCTGCTGCGCAGATTAAAAAAAAATGGGAAAACCTTAAACAGAAATATAAAGTAAGATTTTTTTATTATTATAGTTCACCCCAAAATGAGAATTCTGTCATGATTGAATCATGCTCATGTTTGGCCCTGTAATGCAAAAATTTAACGAATGATATGTTTTACAATATAATTGACTGTTTATTCTGTTTTCAAATATGTGTAGGATCTGAAATGTCCACAGACTGGGGTGAGCACTGAGGATGGGGGTGTAACAGCAGCGTCCTGGAAATGGTATTCTGCCATGGATGAGGCAATAGGGGGCAGACCCTCCATCACACCACCCACCCTTATTGCCTCATCTGGTCCGGATGTTGCTGTTACCTCTCCATCCTCAGTGAGGTCAGAGCGTGTAAGAGTAGGGAGGAAAAGAAAAGAAGTTGAGGAGCTGATCCGAGAGATGGAGGACAGGGAAGCTGAAAGAGAACAAGATGCCATTGAAAGGGAGGAGAGGCGATGGAGAGAGATGGAGGAAAAGGAGGAAAGAAAAGAAAGAGAGCGACGAGAGCATGAGAAGAGGCTAGAACAGGAGGCCAGAGAAAGAGAAGAAAGAAGAGACCGAGAAGTGAGAGAGAGAGAAAGGGAGACAAAAGAGAGAGAGGAAAGATTTCTTCAGCTTTTAGAAATAATTGCAAAAAAATAATTGTAATAAATAAATTAAATGATACACACTCTCTCTTCATTTTTTGTTAGTAAGTTCACTGTGCAGTGCTGTTTTAGCAAGTTTTATTACAAAACACTTAATTCCCAGGGATTTACAGTAGCTTATTGTCAGTTGTAAAGTCCTTAATGTGTGACATTGAATAATTAATATTTTTAAAGTGTTTTGTGTGTGTATTTTGTAGCAGATTCCAGATGGTTTTTGAAACACGGAAATTGCAGGTATATCTGAAAAATATATTGTCTGAATATGAGTGCCACACTGTAGAGAAATACCCACACACTTTAGACACCTTTGAAATGTATTTACTTTATTTTTGTGTATTTAACTTTTAAATGGATACAGAATACAAAGCTTAAAACAAAATCACATAACTTTGGCATAAAGTAGTATTATAGAACTTAAAGCAACACCAAAAGAAAAAGTATTTAAACATTTTTATTATAGTGTCATCATGATGAAAGAAAATGAACTTCAGCAGCTTCAGTAAGGTAACTTTCACTGGTATCTTAAAGATCTAAAGGGACTTTGATAATAGCAATCTCATTTGTAGGGCATCACTTTAAAATAATTCAATATGTTTCTTTCAACACTTGTGTACATGATGAGGACTTTACCCCTTGGGCAATTTTTGGATTTCCACTTGGAAGTAAAAAATTTGTACAACATTAAGCTCAAATATGTGATATGTAGCTAGAATTTTAAAGATTTGGTATACAAATTTACACACCGCCTAAGGCAGTGAGCCAGTGGTTGGTGTGTCACCTCTAGGGACCACTGTAGCTCCGAGATCCCCTGTCGATTAGCCTGGGTCTGCACTATCCCCAGTTACCATGTGCAGCCGCGAGGAGGCCCGACAGGAGTCTTGGTGATGGAGAGGCTTTGTCCAGCAGCTGTAAGCCAGAGGGATGCACACAGATAGCCATGCACCTCTCTAACTACTACTACTGCACTGTACGCATCACAGCACCCTGTGGGCTGTGCCCACACACACACACCTAACTATTTGCATAACTGATATAACTAACATAGACAAACTGGAACACTGTCAATCTGAGAACAAGAACTGATTTTTAGTGTCTTAACCTGTTGAAGTGTCTTTACAGGTAATCATGCTCATGAAGAGCAGGCACACAGTTGCCTGGTGCAGACACCGCTGCAGCGAGATTGTCCCGCACGTGCTCTCCTGCGCTGGCTTCTGTGTTGCGGGGTTCAGGTGGGTCATCGTCATCCTCCGCAACTTCTGGATCAACTATGTCCCCGTTGAGAAGACAGAGGTTGTGGAGCACCGTGCAGCATGCAACAACATCTGGCACAAAAGCAGGGCTGACTTCCAGGGCCTTGAAAAAAATGGAACGCCATCGTGTTTTCAGCATCCCGAAGGCCCTCTCGACGATGTTCCGTGCTCGAGAATGCTTCCTGTTGTACCTCCCCTGTACAGCATTCTGTACAGGCTCTCTGTATGGGGTCATGAGGCAGATGGGCGCACTCAGGCAAGGATACCCACCATCTCCAAGGATGCACTTTCCTGCAGGTGGAAACAGGCGGCTAGTGTACACAGGGCTGTTCTTCAGCACCCTGGCATCGTGCACCGACCCAGGATACCCAACAAAAATGTCGAGGAACTTCCCCTGGTGGTCAGTGATGGCCTGCAGCTGGACAGAATTGTAAAGCTTCCTGTTAAAATAACACTGGACGTCACTTGCTGGTGGTTTGATGCGTATGTGACACCCATCTATAGCACCAGCTACTATACTGAAAGCTGGAGACCCTGCCAGCTGGGCAAAACCTGCTCCCACTGCCTCCAGGTCATCTGCGCTGGGGAAAGTGATAACCTGTCTCAAAATGCCGATGACTGCCTTACTCACTTTGTGCACAATGTCGTGCACAGTAGACTTTGGGATATCAAAGGCGAGTGACACTACCCGATATGAGGCTGCATGAGCCAGCCAGTAGAGGAACACCAGCACCTCAACGTCCTTTTCCCAGCCATGGTCGCAAGCAGGTTTCACAGCAGCAATCAGGGACTGGATGGACTGCCGTGAAAGTCGGAGGTTGGGGCGGAGGTCAGCTCCATCTTCAAAATATAGCCGAAGAATTGGTACAGCACGATTCAGGTGGCAGTAGGTTGAAGGGCTCACAATCTGTAAAAGTGTATGTAGTTTTATTGTAGAATACAATTTGAATCAACAAATCACTTGTTTCCTGTGTTGACTTATTTATAAATATAATGTATTTAATTTATATGTATATGATCCATTTCTTATGCATGATGTATTTGAATATATACATACTCATTTACACATATATACACATGTACACACATACATACATGCATATATATGTATATTTCTGTGTGTATGTATATATTTATGTGTGTGTATATATATATATACATACATACATACACACACACACACACACACACATATATATATATATATACACACACATATATACATATATATATGCATGGATGTGCATGTATATATATACATACACACACACACACACACATATATATATATATATATACATACACACACACACACACATATATATATGTATATCATGAATGAATCAATAGAGATATTTTTATTTATTTAATGGCAATAGGTTGTTTTCAGGGGAAAAATTAACTAATATATATATATAAATAATGAAGACTTCAGATGTAAAAGACTCCAAGTGCCATCTGTAATTGTGATCAAGCTTGTGTATTTATGTTCAGTTTTTCACTGTAAATAAACTATTGCCATTAAAATAAAAAAATATCTCCATTGATTCATTCATGTTTATTCATCGATGGTAATATCACAAGAAAATAAATTAATTTTTCCTTGCCAAAAATCAACATCTGTCATTGTTCACAGGTTTTTGTGAGTGTGTTTTTTCTGAGGTAAACTGTATTAGTTAAATTAATTATGATACTTACGTTATTTGAGAAATTCCGGAGAAGCTCTCGACGAAGGCGTGATCTGCGAGTAGCTGACCGACGCCGCCTCTGGACTGTAAGCTCAAACGACGTAAAAACGCCGATGAAAACGGACAGCAAAACTAAAAACATAGCGCGAAGTTGGTGCAGTCAGTGGAATGGGCTCTTTAAATTTTCGCGCTGTTATGACAGCGTCTGTCACGTGACGCTTTGTTATGACAGGATATGTCACGTGACTATTTCAACATGGCGCATGTAGTACGTCCGGACTCCATCCATACTACCCGTATTCATACTATATAGAACGTACTTTTTTAACGGTCGCGAAGTACGTTCTAATTTAAATGTAGTACCTACTCACATAGTACGCGATTTCGGACGCAGCCCATGTCTATGTAACATCTGACAGGAGACATATTGCAGATGATCAAAAGCTAAAAAATATCTTGCAGATGTAAATGCTCACATCAAATAGACGTCTCCATGATGTGTGCTATCTTGTTTCAGCCATGGAATAAAAAAATCGACATTTTGTATCACAATTGTGACTTTTCTTCGTAATTGTGACTTTTTTCTCAGCAATTCTGAAGAGTGGTATAAACTCGCAATTCAGACTTCTTTTTTTTCTTCTGGCAAGTCCGTGGGGGCTTCCATATAAATGTGATAGTGTTGTCTGATATTCCTTCTACTTCTTAATCATTTGTAAAGTAGATCCCCCCCCCCCCCCCCCCCCATTTATTTAAGACTTTGGAGGAGGGCTTTGCTTTCTTGCCTATTCAAAATGTTACCATGGTAACCATAGTTTCCGCCAAAAAAAGCCCCTTAAGACTTCTCCCGAGATCCTCAAAAGAAAAGTCCCGCAGAACCTGCACACTTATTCCAGCACAATCCCACAGGATTTTCGTGGTCATTTTTTTGTGGGGGATTTCCTGTGGGACTTTTAAAATCCAGGACTCGTTTCGCGCAGTAAACCTACTGTGCAACCGGGAATTTTAATAGTGAACGATACTGCAAATAAATACGAATATGAAATCTTACATGGTTTGAAGAACAACCGAATTTTTAAAATATGTTTTACATAATGGCCATGTAAACTGCTGTGGACTGGTATTTTTGTAATCGACGAACAAAACACCGATTCACAGCAGACACAATGTAAAGCGAGAGACCTGCAGTAGTAGAATGAGTATGTTACTCATTCTACTACATGTAGCCTACATATTTCATCAAACACAACAAATATTAACTTGAAAACAAAACAGTGCACTATTGTCATATCATGTGGTTTATGGTTAGCTACCCGACTACCGCAGGGCTTTGTCTCGTTAAGTCAGCCCTAATCGGGCATAATGTCTTTCATTTGTCTCATTGAAGGGGGAGGGGAGTGAAAGTATAGAGGAAGAGAGGGGGATTTAACATTCACAAAAAAGGCGACACCAACAGAGAATGCGCGATGGAGAAAAATGAGTAAGTATAACCGATTTAATATCGAAAACGTATAAAATCGCGACCCGCATATCTGCATTTATCGTCATGTTGTTTTACGAGCAAAGCGATCGCTTTTGTTCATTTGAATAGATCAGTCTGGGCTACTAGTTTGCGCAGTCCTTTCAAGCGGCGACGATTTTAAAGAAAGAAAACGGGTTTAGCATATGATTAAAACTATGTAATAGGGTAACAAAGCGACCTGTACTGGTGTGTGCACATATAAAATGAAGTATTTGTCTTAAATTGGAAATGGCAGGTCTTGCTAATAAAGTGTTTATTGACGTTGTTTTAACGGACCAGGTGCAGCATCTTTTCTCGTCCCGCGATTGTCATTTTAGCGAACGATGTTCGTAAGACGCGTCGTTTTTTACCAACCCGCTAGTAACTATTTCATTCAGTCACTTGACAAAAAATGTGTGCTAAATGTCTCTGGTTTACTGGCAATGCATTGGTTACATTCACAATTGATCGACTTTACTCAAAATTCTTATGATACTGTGGTAATATAACGAAGAGATGCCTGAATTGCAGCATTGTCTACAACAAAAATACGCATATAATCTTGCGAGGGACAGTACAGCAAATATGTAATCTGTATGATTCATACTTCATAAGTATATAGCCTAATTTCCAAGCGGAGGAATCCTTCATTGAGCAGAAGATCCCAAAGTGATGAGGCTACGATACGGCGCAACGTTTTGCTAAGTGACAAAGCAACATTATTGAATGAAGACACTGTATTACTGTAGATTTGGTCGTCGTTTGTAGGTATCTTTAATTAAAAAACACGTTAGATAATCAGCATGTCAGGGGAAGCAGACTCTGCCGACATCAGAGTGTGTAAAAAGTGGGAGTGCTCGGATTGAGGAGAGAAAGCCATGTGTGTTATGTTAGGGACTGAGTACAGAGGGGGGATTGTCATGTAAAAGTAGGCCCAGCTGTGGAGAGGATTTTGTGTGCTTAATTTCAGGAGGGGGTGGGGGTGCATGTCAATTGAGCATGTGTATCGCATCCAAATTGAAATGGCTGTTTTTTGCCACAATTCAGTTAGCCCTGTTCACAACTACAAAAAGTTATATTACAGGTTGGTTAGCCAGAGTGCACTAAATGTGTTTGTGAATGAATGCACATTACAGAAGTTGTGTCCCAAATGACTCACTGTATACTATGTACTCAACCGTGTAGTGTATGAATTTTATAAGGTTGTCATCCAGTTTTGATAGCACCAGTCCGATAGCCCTTCTCAATCCACTATGCAAGAAAGCTGCGACAGCTGAGTGCGTGAAGTGTCCAACACTGTAATTTTCAGTGTGTGAACACACTACTCGCACTATTTATACAACAAAATTGCATATAAATATTCTTGTTTTCTTTGAAACAAGCAAAAGAAACAATTTACCCATTGAGTCAGACATCCTATAACTAGTGTTGGCAAGATTCATTTGAACAAAGTTGTTTCACTGACATTTGAAAGAAGTTTCATTGATTCACCTTCATTTGAGAAATTGGTTGCACTTTATTTTATAGTGTGTGCACTTAGAATGTACAGAAAGTGCTGGGTAATATGGGTTAAGGTTAGGTTTAGAGATAGTTTCAGGGTTAGTACCTAGTTATTACCCAGTTATTGTTATAATAACTATAATAATTACATAGTATTTACATGGGGAACAGGACTGTAAAAATAAAGTGCTACCGAGAAGTTTTACGTGTTTGTTTGCATTCCAGTTTGATGCTGTCACTCTAAATAACACTTTAATTGTTTTTCTGTTTTGTTTTTTTGCCACATTTATTAACTGGATTGAAGAAATGTGTGAAATTTGCATTGTGTATGATTCACCCACCTAACAAAGTTGGTTCTGGTAGAACCATTCAGAAGAACCAGTTATAAAGAATGATTCATTTGGATCTCCATTCCATTGGTTTTAACTGTGAAATTGTGTTTCATAGTCTGAATAAACACATTTTCCAAGGATTCCTAATCAATGACATGTCACAAATAGACATGACTGTTCTTTTTTTAGCAGAGGTGAGGAAGAGGAGGAAGAACAGAGGCGAGAGAGGGGGGAGGCAGGTCGTTTGTATAGTTTGTGGTATCGTATTATTTAATCAATTAAAAACCATCTATGTTGTTACATGTTTGCACGACCTTGACAAGCTTAAAGAGCCATGGACTCAACCCCCCCCCAAAAAAAAAGTTTGTCCATATTTGTGCATGAACTTGAAACAAGCACGAAATCTTCATGGTATCATCATACAGAATATTCAGTGAACTCATTTTTGCATCACACCTGTGTCAACTAACTTCTACTACAGAATATTGATTTAAAGGGCTGTGCAAGGGTTTGTTTCAGATGCAGAAGTGCAACTGTTCAAGTGAAGAATGTTAAATGGACACTGAGATCTAGACAAACAGTATTACTATTATCTCAAACTATGCGAAACAAATGTGAACATTTGGCAGAGTAGATTGACAAGGACAGCTTACAGAGCTCAAAATGAAGTCATTTAGGGCTCTAGACACAGTACAGACTATCACATTTTATTTGTAAGAAAGTTAATTGAGTTTAAATGTCCTATAGACCTTAATCAGGGTAGTGCCATATTTAATATTTGACAGGAATGAAAACAAGGCTGTGCGGGATAGAAGTGCAGTGCATTCAATGGATTTTTAACTTTCCGAAAAAAGTTTCAGTCAACAAAACCGTTTTGAAAGTTGAAAATTATGTGATCTAGGACCTTTACACAGTGCCTGCCTTTGTAACACACACTTTGTCTGAAATCGCGTACTGTCTGAGTAGGTACTAGTAATTTGAATTTACTTCCCGACTGTTAAAAAAGTACGCTCTATATAGTATGAATATGGGTAGTATGAATGAACTTCGGATGCACTACATCTGCCATGTTCTTACTGTCATGTGACCTACCAGCGTCAGCTGCGTTGCTTCACTTCCATTCATAAATCCTCTCCCGTGGCCTCATGGGATAGTAAAGTGTCCATCGCATGCACACTTCAGAATCTTGCCGGAAATAGTAGGTTATCCGGAGACTTTTGACCTACTGTTTTTCGAATACTATGTATTGGGACATACTACTCTTTTGGCGTACTGTTTTTCGCAGTGTGTACGTTTATCCCTCACAGCCTCGTTTTCATCTGCGTTAAATTCAATATGGCGTCTAACATCTATAAGCACGAATAGATCAATATATTTTACTGTATTATACTATTCATTTGAATTATTTTAAGATTTTTATTCTATATTTATAAATTAGGGTGTTTGCATTACAATTTTGAACTTCTTCCTATGAGTTCAAATGTGTTTTAAGCATTAAAATCGCATTTTGAATGTGATTTTAATTGCCATCATGATAGTCAATATTAAGAAACAGAAAAAGTTCTTCACAGTATTCATGATCTAATAACATTGTCATTTTGTCATCACAGGCTTGGGATATTTAAAAATGTGTTTCAAGTTAGGCATTGCATGTCATTGTTTGTGTATATTGTGTGTTAATATCCGTTTGCAACTACCGTCACCATAACTCATTCTCTTTCCAAATTTGCATCCATACGGGTTTATCAAATCTCTGAGATGTGTCCTATTTTGCTCCCCCTCCCCAGCCCCACTGGGAAGAAGTTCCGGAGCAAGCCTCAATTGGCTCGTTACCTTGGTAACTCCATGGATCTCAGCTCCTTTGATTTCCGCACGGGCAAGATGCTCATGAGCAAACTGAACAAGAACAGACAGAGACCCCGGTATGACAACAATAGCCAGACTAAGGTGAGAGGACTTACATCAACTGAGGGCTCAATAAATTCATAAATGAGCAAACATTTTCATATTCATAAAAACACATTCATTATTCTAGATTTATAGCTGCAGCGTGATATAGGCTGAAAAATGATCTCTGCATGGCTGGTGACCCTTTAAAACCAATTTCAAGCCAGTTTTACTGGTCAAGCTGCAACAATAACCAGAAACAGATCAGCAATTCCCAGTTTTTCATCAGGGTAATCAAGAATGTTCTGTCTTTGATAGGGCAAACCCGACCTGAATACATCCCTCCCAGTACGACAGACAGCCTCCATCTTCAAACAGCCCGTCACAAAAGTTACCAACCACCCCAGCAATAAGGTTAAGACAGACCCACAGAAGGCCATTGACCAGCCCAGACAGGTAATGCAAATCTAGGGGGCCGTTTACACGACAACGTTTTCAACTAAAAACTGTTCATTTAGCCGTTCATTTAGACGACAACGACGTTTTGGGGGCCTGAAAACGCAAACTTTGGAAAACTTTATTGTTTGAAATTTGTGAAAACGGTGACATCATGCGCAGGTGTATGATGTTCAGTCTATAAACACGTAGTGTTTCTTTACAAAGTGACATCGCCAACTACTGGCCTGCCATGAATAATCGTTTTCGCGGCTCCGTGTGAACGGGGATCATTTTGATAACGTTGTTGTCTGTACTTGAAAAACGCAAAGGAAAACTGTTTTTAGTACATCATTGTTGTGTAAACGTGCCCTAAATTCTCAGTTTTTATTCACCACTATTAGTAGTTTTGCATAGTGGCACAATGCTAATTTTATTTTCATTGACAGCTTTTCTGGGAGAAGAAGTTGGGTGGCCTCAATGCTTTTGACATAGCAGAGGAGCTGGTGAAAACAATGGATCTCCCCAAAGGCTTACAAGGTACGTCTGGGCGAGATGAAGAACTTAATCCAAGTTTGTTTATTTTAAGCAAGAATAAATAAAAGTCAGTATGATATTAGTTTGTGAAATCTGAGGAAAACGAGAGGAACAAACAAAAACGAATCAAAAGCAAGACAGAGAACACAAATGACATCAAACAATCACATACTCTCTTGAGCAGGTACTTATTTTGAGTAAAGTATGCTGAATACTTCATGACCGCTGAATAAGTATGTTCTATATAGTATGAATCTAATCTGTACGCACTACATTCGCCATGTTGCCCTTATCATGTGACCTACCAGCGTCAGTTGCGTCGCTTCACTTCCATTCACAAATGCTCTCCCGTGGCCTCATGGGATAGTAAAGTGTCCATCTAATGCACACTTCAGAATCTCAACGGAAATAGTAGGTCATCCGGGTTCTTTTTCATGAGTACTGTGAATTCGGACATACTTCTTTTGTCACATACTGTTTTTCGCCTACTATACAGTTGGGAAGTATGCGATTTCGGATGCAGCCAGGGATATTTACACTCAAGAATTAGTGCACTAACATGAAACAGGTGAGCACAATCAAGGCCAGGGTAAGAAACAACTAGAGACAATTAAGTTATTTGCAAATTTTTTAAAATGTAATTTATTCCTGTGATCAAAACCGAATTTTCAGCATCACTACTCCAGTCTTCAGTGTCACAAGATCCTTCAGAAGTCATTTTAATATGCTGATTTTCTGCTTAAGAAACATTTTGAATATTATCAGTGTTGACACACAAAACAGTTGTGCAGCTTAATTTATTTTTTAGGGTGAATAGAATGTTAAGCATAATAAAAATCTTTGGTAACATTATAAATGTCTTAACTGTCACTTTTGATCAATTGAATGCATCCTTGCTGAATATAAGTATTCATTTCTTTCATTAATTTCTAGTTGCATCATAATACTAGGCAAGTTACCTTGATTTATTTAGCGCTTTATACAATACATATTGTTTTAAAACAGCTTTACAGTGGTAACAGGGAAATTATCACTGACTCTGTTGTATGAGAACTTAACTGAGCTGGACGATGACATCATTTTTGCATCATTTTTTAATCTATGAAGCAGTTCTGCAGAAAACATTGATGTCATCGTCCAGCTCAGTTCAGATCTCATACAACAGCGTTAGTCCAGTCAAATCAATAATATTGTTGAATAATAAGTGTCCCCAACTAAGCAAGCCAGAGGCGACAGTGGCAAGGAACGTAAACTCCATCCGGTGACAGAATGGAGAAACCAGGCTCAGTCGGAGGGCCAGTTTTCCTCTGGCCAACTTATGAACATGGTGTGATTATGATTTAGGCTGCATCACAAGTCAGAAATCAGATTGTGGATCGGTAGCATTCAAATATTTCATTCAGTTCCTTTTGCTTGAAGATCGGATTCATCACGCCAGTATGGAGCCAAAACTGGTCATAGGGTCTGTGCAGGACTTGTCTGGTTCTTGTGGTCTCTGCTGAGGATCTGTGTTGATGGCTGTCGTGTCGACAAGGTCTTCACAGGGGATTGTCTAGTAGACGGGGGTCTTCGCTGACATTCAGGGCCGTTGTGGTCGTCTTAGGGTGCAGGTTCACCATCTGATCTGGATACGGACCGGATACGGCTGACTACGGTAACCTCTGGATAAACAGAGAGACTAATATAAGCATGGATGCCATTCTTCTTACGATGTAAAAAGTACATCGGGTGTTACGGGAAGTGTTCCCGGTTCCGGTTGACCTATTTTATGGAGTCTAACAATACTTTAACAGATCATAGAATTAAATGATAGAAATTGATAATTTGTTATGTGTCTGCCAGGTTAGAGAGATGTGTTTTTTTTAGTCTAGATTTAAACTGACAGAGTGTGTCTGCTTCCCAAACAAGGCTAGGAAGGCTGTTCCAGAGTTTGGGTGCTAAATAGGAAAAGGATTTACCGCCTGCAGTTAATTTTGATATTCTAGGTATTACCAACTGGCCATAATTTTGAGATCGCAATAGATGTGAAGGACGTTAAGAGCTCGCTCAAGTATTGAGGAGGTAAACCATTTAGTGCTTTGCAAGTAATTAGCAAGGTTTTTAAATGTATGATATGTTTAATCGGGAGCCAATGCAGTGTTGATATAATATGGTCATACTTCCTGATTCTAGTAAGAACTCTAGCTGCTGCATTTTGGACTAGCTGGAGTTTGTTTATTAAGCGTGCAGGGCAACCACCCAGTAGAGCATTACAATAATCTAGCCTTGAGGTCATGAACGCATGAACTAACATTTCTGCATTTGTCACTGATATTTTTTTAAGATGGAAGAATGTGGTTTAACAGATGCTAGAAATGTGGCTTTCAAATGAAAGAATGGTATGAAAGAGCACACCCAGATTCCTAACTGACGACGAGGACTTGACAGAGCAGCCATCAAGTGTTAGACAGTGCTCTAGGTTATTATGTGCCGAGGTTTTTGGTCAAATAATTAAAACCTTTTTTTTTTTTTCAGAATAAAGTAGTCAAATAGAGTTTTTTTTATCAATAGATGCTACTAAAATGAATTAATTCTATAATATTTCATACGTCACTGAAGGTGTAGGCCCTGGATGCACAGATAAGACCCTGTTGTCAGCGATTGCCAGTGCCCTTCACACCAGTGCGGCTCCCATCACTGGCCAGCTGTCCGCCGCTGTGGAGAAGAACCCGGGAGTCTGGCTCAACACGGCTCAGCCTCTCTGTAAGGCCTTCATCGTCACAGATGAGGATATCAGGTATTTCAGCCTTTTGAATGATGCACAGTGTCATATTTTATATGATAAATGTATGTGTGGGATATTGATGTAAGTAATGTTTTGGTCACAGAAAGCAAGAGGAGCTGGTGTACAGCGTTCGGAAGCGACTGGAAGAGGCTTTGATGGCCGACATGTTGGCCCAAGTGGAGGAAACATCTAGTGAGGGAGACACACTCAAACAGGAGGGAAATTGTAATGAAGACAAACAGGAAGTATAGCAAAGGTAGTTGAGGAAAAACGACAGTTGCGTATTTCCGCTCGTTTCCTGAAGGAAATAGTCACATAAACTGAAACATCCCTCTATAAGCAAGCATTGTTTTTTTCACAGGGTATTCAAATGTGTCTGAAATACCTGCACATGAGTTTCCCAACACTGATCAACACACCACGTGATCATCTCCCAGCTTCGCTGAAAATCCATGTTCGCCCACCAGTTGGGATCTCACAGAGACTGTTTGCTCGGTTTTATTATTATCATTTTTTAATATTCTGAACGTTTTCTGAAAGAACAAAATGTTGGAAAAGTTTAACAGTTGAACTGCCTTCTGCATTAAATGTTTTAAGGTTTTTTTTTAGGGGGTATTTGGATTTGATTCGGAGATACAACAATCAAGTCAAAAATACAATCCTCCCGTTCTAGTGGGTGCTAAACTTTATCACAGCTGATCTGTTGATTATTCTCTGTGACTAAAAAATGTTTAAATCTCTGTCAAAAAGAGAAAATATTGACTTTGCTCCCTGTTAGTATTGTTTGAACAATATTCCTAATTTCAAGTTGAAAATCAGTATTATGCAGTTCAAATTCAGTTTTTATGTGTTTTTCTCAATACCAAATGTTTTATCAGGGACAAGGCTTTGATAAACATTAATAAGTTACAAAGTGTGAAGGCGTGGTTTGGTTTTCTTTCAGATTTTCTGTTTTCGACTCATCTGGTGCTTGTTAAAACTGCCTGATTTTTTTCTTCATAAGCTGTTCATACTTGACACTGAAAAACATTTCCACAGTCTGAACCTGGAATTGAAATGTGAATGGTGATTCATAAAATGTGACACGTGATTTATACTTAGTGATGTGTAAACATCCTGTGAAAAGCAACTTAACTAAACATTTTGCTGGGTGAAAAGTATGTTTTTATAAAAAATGCTTTGTTCATTGCCCACATCATCACAATGATGTCCATGTTCTCTTCTACATTTCCTAAAATAAAATGTTCCTGTGTTGAATATCTTTATTGCTTTATTCTGCAATAATGCGACAGGTGTTGTTGATACACTTTCTTTATGTTCAACCTATTTGTTGATGTTATCGCTAATGTGCTATCCACTTTTTTGCACTACTTTATGCTGCTTTGAAATTGTTCAGATGCAGAGCCGTTTTGAATGTCCCTCTCTAACATCAAGGATTAACTGTTAACTTACTATTACGGATATGATGGCTGAACCTTTAACAGACCAAAGGGCACCGGGCCAGTCACTCGCTCTGAGACGCAAATTAAAAGAACAGCTGTAGTTGTAGAGAGGTTTCATTTGAGCTGTCAAAGCAGAAATTAACTCTCTGGCTAGATGGCAACCACAGAGCTCTACACAAAGGTAAGTGCGTTTCATAATTTTTTATGTATAATAATTTTTTGCAGTTTCATTGGATGTCATTATGATAGATAGATAAGACAGACAGACACAAATAGATAGATAGATAGACAGATAAATAGATAGACAGACAGACAGACAGACAGATAGATAGATAGATAGATAGATAGATAGATAGATAGATAGATAGATAGATAGATAGATAGATAGATAGATAGATAGATAGATAGATAGATAGATAGATAGATAGATAGATAGATGTTTAGTGTTGACCGGCTGGTGTTAATGTTTAATGGTGCAGCGAGTGTTTTTATGCTGATTAAGGAGAAAAAGAGTGTCACTGGGTTGGGACAGATAGTCACTCAGGCACATGAGCCGGTTGTGTAACATTCAAAATATTGAATCAATTTCCTTGGTATCCATATCTTATGAAATTATAATAATCAAGACTGCAGACAGACTGCAATGTCCTTTTTTGCTCGTAGAAGGCCACCTTCCTGCACAACTGGCTTCAGTGGCTTGGGAGTTTCTAGTAATCCTGAAGACCTTGATTAGCTGGTTCAGGTGTGTTTAGGGTCAGCACTAAACTCTGCTGGAGGTGCAATGTAGCAGTTTTTTGTTTGAAAAGCAGTGGAATGTCAACCAGTCTGCTACACTTTCATCAGTTAAAATTTAAATGTTTATGGTCTTCCACAGAATTAAACGAGGATTAGACCTTAGTTCAATTAGGACATTTAAGTAGCTTTTATAAACAAACATGTCTTGGTGTGCATCATGACACAAAACCGCTGACATTTTAAGATATGTCAGTGCAAGTTGCTTTCAGTAAAAACAGCTCAAATATGCATTTTAGTCAGGGACTAGGCTTAAGCCTTGCCTGTGAAAACAGGGGTGTCTTGAAGTTTGGGTAGCTAATATTAGTAGCGAGGGATCACTATGTAGAATGGGCTTTGTATTTCCTTTACTTCCAAAAACGCATAGGGCCTATGCAACAAGTAAAATAAATAAATAAAAAAGAAACAAAGAAACAGAAAAAAAATTAACCTTAATTTCATTTGTACTTATCAATTTTTTTTAATAATTTGTCGGAGTCAATAGCCTCATGGGCAACGCTCCGACCCGAGTTCCGTCTTCGAGAGGACCTTTCTAGATCCCGTTCCCACTTCACTTCCTGTCAAAACACCAAAAAATAAATGTATACTATGTCAAAATCTGCCACACACAAATGTGTGTGATTCTATATAAAGCTAAAAGAAAATCTAAGTTTCAAATGATTATTTTTTGAGTTTGACTATTTTTTGTTGATTATGCTTTGTATTTATTATGTTTCTATCGCCTCTCAGGGTGCATGTGTGTGGGTGCCAGACCCAGAAGCTGTGTGGGTGTCTGTACAGCTGCTTCAAGACTATCATCCTGGAGACCAGCAGATCTTAATCCAACTCAGTGATGGCAGAGTAAGACAAAAACACACATATGATACTGAAATGAAACCATGAGGCCTGCAGAATGAACATGTTTTATTTTATTTATACAGTTACAAACTGTATAAATACTGTATTTGTTTTTAAATAAGGAGATGGAGTATCCAGTGTTGCCTCCGGCAGGTCTTCCCCCTCTAGGTAACCCTGATATTTTGGAGGGGGAGAATGACCTCACAGCTCTTACCTTCCTCCATGAGCCAGCGGTACTTCACAATTTGCGAGTGCGCTTTCTTGACTACAATAGCATTTACACATATTGCGGTGAGTTAAATTCTACAGAAAACAGTGGCAAGTTTTTACAGCCATCACCCATTAACCTCCATTTTACTGGGTGTAAAGTTCAAGGCACAGAGATTCAAATTACATCACTCATTGTTATATTGGCTACTGTAAAGAACATTTACCAAGCACTGAGTTTATTGGTGTGCAAATTATGCTAAGAAAATGATGGCCTTGCATGTTAAACTTCATTAATTACATTTTTCATTTCATAGATACGTAAATCTCATTTAGATAACTTTCTTATACTCTAATAGGGATTGTGTTGGTGGCATTAAATCCATATGAACAGTTGCCCATCTACGGAGAGGAGGTGATTGATGCTTACAGTGGCCAGGACACGGCTGATATGGAGCCGCATATTTTTTCGGTGGCTGAAGAGGCGTACTGCACTATGACCAGGTCAAGAGCAAGCAAATAACAAGAATAGTTCACTTACAAAAAAGTACCATAATTTTTTGAACAAAAGAATACCATGGTATTCTTTAAATTACTTGGAAGTACCATGCAAATTATTATGTAGATATCAAAGTACCTTTTTCATTTTACCTTGTTACCACACAGTATACAGTAGGGAGTTTCATTCTGAATTTGTATCACATTACCCTTAACCGACACATATGGTTTTAATATGGTTTTAATCATAATTATATGTACAGAGAGGAGAAAAACCAGTCCATCATAATCAGTGGGGAATCAGGCTCAGGTAAAACTGTATCTGCCAAGTACACTATGCGTTACTTTGCTGTTGTGGGTGGTGCGGCCCAGCAGACCAGTGTGGAGGAGAAAGTTTTGGCGTCCAATCCCATCATGGAGGTACTTGAGAAAACTTGATTTCTGGCCTCTCTGGTAAAGTAGGAGGAGGCTGATTATTAGTCATTTAATTAACTTAAATGATCATTTTAACCCTTACAGGCAATTGGTAATGCAAAAACAACCAGAAACGACAACAGCAGCCGTTTTGGAAAGTATATTGAGATAGGATTTGGACGTAAAGGGGATATAATTGGGGCAAACATGAAGACCTACTTGTTGGAGAAATCAAGAGTTGTTTTTCAGGTGATTGCTTGATCATATAGTGATTATCTCACGATTCAGTGATCAAGTTTAGTTCTTGAGATGCATTTTGTATTGTGACACATTAACAGGCAGCTGAAGAGAGAAACTACCACATCTTCTACCAGCTTTGTGCTTCCAGGGATTTGCCAGAGTTGAGGACACTCAAATTTGGTAAAGCCTAAATGAATTACCCGAAAACATGTTACTCAAACATATATGTGTGAATATGTTTATTTGTGTTGTGTCGTTTTTGTTCAATCACCAAGCGTTACTGAATCTCTACTGCATAGATTCTGCTGAGAACTTCCATTACACCAACCAAGGACAAGATGTGCAGATTCCAGGCAGAGATGATGTTGTTGAGCTGGAGCGGACGAGAAATGCCTTTACTATACTTGGTAAGTTAAAATACATCCATATATTCCTTAAAAACAACGTGATGAACTTGAAACTTGTGGTTCACCCCTGCAGGAGTGCAACCGGACCAGCAGATGGAGATATTTCGTATACTGGCAGCTATTCTTCATCTGGGGAATGTCAACATACAAGCCAGTGGTCGTGGTGGGGACCGCAGCTACATTAATGTACAAGCACCATTTCCAATTATTGTGTACATTTTTTGTGTACGAGTCAGAATCAAAATTTGAAGAACTGTTTGATGTCTGTATAGATAAAAAAAAACAGGAGCAGTGCTGTCCTTGCTAATTTTCTAACAAGTAGTTTGTGATAATATGGACATACTTCCTTATTCACCATACTGGCAGGCCGATGACCGCTCCTTGGCTGTCTTTGCCAAGCTTTTGGGGGTGGAAGGTGCTCAGATGGCCCAATGGCTATGTCACAGGCGACTGGCGGTGGGTGGGGAGATGCTTGTGAAGCCCATGACAGGCCAGCAGGCTAATGAAGCACGGGATGCTCTGGCTAAGCATGTGTACGAGCAACTATTCACATGGACGGTACAGAGACTCAACTCATCCTTACGAGCACACCGGGAACAGCCCAAATCTTTCATAGGAGTTCTTGATATCTATGGGTAAGAGTTATTTTATACGTAATAATCAATAATATAACAAAAATGTACATGTTGGATTGTTTTGTCAATTTATTTGTATTTTTATTGTTTATAGGTTTGAGACTTTTGACAGGAATAGCTTTGAGCAATTCTGTATTAACTACGCCAACGAGAAACTCCAACAACAGTTCAACAGGGTAAGTTTCCAGATATCGGGACATGGATTACGTTGTTGCCTGACTTGAGTCTTTTTATATTTTTGTCTAGCGAATCGTGACTTGAAGCAATTCTCCACACTAGTGATACTGTACAAGTGGCTATTTTTGTTGAGTTTGTCAGAACTTCTCTAGCCATTAGTTGACTGGTTGACTCAACTTTGTTCATTAAGTTAAGTTTTAAGTATGTGGTATGTCCTTGTCAGCATGTGTTTCAGTTGGAGCAAGAGGAGTACCTGCGAGAGGAACTTCCCTGGAATCGTATTGAGTTCAGCGATAACCAGCCATGCATTGCGCTCATTGAAGGCCAGCTGGGCCTACTTGATCTTCTGGATGAGGAATGCAGAGTGAGCAAACTACATGTTGTAACACAAGTTGTAATCCCTCTTATCATGTCACCAAAGTGTAAAACACATTCTCTCTCTGTTCTAGATGCCGAAAGGCTCGGATGAGAACTGGGCTCGGAAGGTTTACGACCAGCACCTGAACCACACCCCCTACTTTCGTAAACCACGCATGTCCAACTCTGCCTTCCTCATTGTGCATTTTGCTGATTTGGTCAGAAAACATCTACTGAGAATAATTTAGCAAATATTTAGCAACCTTTCAACGTTTGTGATAATATTGCTGGGTTTTTTTGCATTAGGTTCAGTACGAGTGTGATGGCTTTTTAGACAAGAACCGAGACACTGTGTTTGAGGAGCCCATCAATATACTGAGAGCTAGCCAGGTATTGTGTGAATAGTTCAAATATTGTCTTTTAAAAGATTTAGTTTTGTACTCACTGAGCCTCCTCACAACTGTCCGTGTCCTTCCCAGTCAGAACTAGTTGCAGAGTTGTTCCAAAAGGAGTCAGGGGGATCGCTCCCCAACTCCTCTCTTGCAAACGGGAGCGTACGTTCAGGAAAGCGAGCTCACAGAGAGCACAAATTAACTGTGGGCTTTCAGGTGAGCTGCTTCTCCTGGTTCCTGTCTGAAGAAAACTCTTTTCAAATGGTTAACCAGTCATGCTCAAATCCATCTAAATCCCTTTAGGTTTTCTCTGACTCTTTAAGGTCTGAGATTTCAACCTTTTCTTACATGTTCTTTCTTTGTGTGTCTAGTTTCGTCAATCCCTGCACCTTTTAATGGACACCCTGAACAGCACCACTCCACATTATGTCCGCTGCATAAAGTCCAATGACCTCAAACAGCCCTTTCTGTAAGAAAAATAAGATATCCTATGTGTTTATGTCTATCAGATTTTGGAGTAACCTTTTCTCGTGTCTTTATATCAGATTTGATCCCAAGCGAGCAGTGCAGCAATTGCGAGCGTGTGGAGTCTTGGAGACCATCCGAATCAGTGCCGCAGGCTACCCCTCCAGGCAAGTACTCTTCTATAAGTCTGTCAAATAAGAAAAGCATAAGTTCCTTCTTACATCCCAGACTCTTTTGTTCGTACTCCAGGTGGACGTACGAGGAGTTCTTCACCCGCTACCGGGTGTTGCTACATGATTCTGTTTCTCAGGATGATGTACGGCGTTCCTGCCAGAGTGCCCTGCCCAACCTCATCCCTGATCCAGAGCAGTACTGCTTTGGCAAGACCAAGGTCTTCTTCCGGGCTGGACAAGTTGCAGTACTGGAGAAGCTGAGAGGGGATCGGCTATCTGGAGCAGGGGTTTTGATCCAAAGCTGGGTGAGAGGCTGGCTGCAGCGTAAGCGTTATCAGCGGCTCCGGTGGGCCACCTTCATCCTGCAGCGCTACACCAGAGGAACCCTAGCTCGAAGGTGGGTTAGAGTGTTACCTAAAGAACACACTGTGTACTGTAGGTTTTCAGGTCCCATTCTAGTTGTGTTGGTTTTCTAATAGGTGTTTCTATATGTTTGTGATCCAAATTTTGAAGTATATTCTTCATTGTTACCTAACCATTAGGTTAGCGTGGACCCTCCGTTATACACGCGTTGCTTTAATCATCCAGAAAACATACCGCATGCTGGCTGTGCGACAACTTTATATGACCATCAGAGAGGCCACCATCAAAATCCAGGCCTTCATCAGAGGCACCCAGGCTCGTCGCATTTATAGACAGGTAAAGTGCTTTAAAATGTGTTTCTGGGTATAGTTGAAAGCTACAGGCTCATTTGACCCTGCAGATGCTAAATGCAGAAAAAATGGCCAAATATTAACTTGATTATTCTAGTTCTAGTGCTATTTTGAAGTTCTAACTCAAGTAATGCAAATCTCAATGCAGCATCTCTGTTATGATATACTCAAGCAAAGCAGCTGGACTAATGCATTTTTAGATTTGTGTAAGGTCTATGCTTAAAAATTAGTTTATATGTGTATATGTTTGAATGTTGTTGCCTAATGTAAACATTATTATTTTATGATTTGTTTTATAAATCTCTCCTCTCTTTAGATGCTGACAGAGCGGGCGGTGGTGTTTTTGCAGGCACAGGTGCGAGGCTGGCTGGCCCGGTGCAGTTTCAGGCGCGTCAGAACTGCAGTGGTGCTTCTGCAGAGTTGCGTGCGCAGACGAGCGGCACGTAAAGAGCTGTTGCGCCTGCGTGCTGAGGCTCGATCGGTAGAGAAATTCAGAGAACTCAATAAAGGCATGGAAGTCAAACTCATGCAGCTGCAACTCAGAGCTGACCAACAGGTGAGAGGGTGCAAGAAAGCTTTGAACAATTATGTAATGACAATTTTTAAATTCTCTGACTTTTACCACCTGACTGCTGCAGAATTAATTCGGCGTTGATAGGGTTGACATAGAACAGACAGACATCTGAGTCTGAGGACGTGACCAGCTCTGGGTTGAACGTCACGGGTTGCCATCCATCCAATTACGGTTATGACATGGCGTGCTGTGAATGCAGCATAAGCTCATTGTTTTGGTTCAGGAAGAACTGTATGATGCACACAGATAAATAATTTATAATAAATACTGTAATATTCTATAAAAAATAAGAATTGTCCACTTAGATTTTATGGTGACTTTAACAGGAGGAAATATGAGCATCCAGCTTAAGGATGCGTTGGTAGGCGAACATAGTATTTCAAATCCGGACAGATGGCCGCACAATGTGAATCATGTGTGCTTTTCTTTTCTCAGGCGAGAGAGAGTGCGTCTCTGAGGGAGATTCTTCAGGCCGAGCGAGGAGCTCACAGCTCTGAGCTGGAACAGCTGCGGTCAAGCCTCCTCAAACTCCAGATCCAACTGCAGGAGAATGCAAACACTGCTCCTTTACTCGCAGACAAACAGGAGGAGGACATGAGGAAAGCTGAGGAGAAGGCCGCCCAAGAGATTCTCAAGCTTACACAGGTGAGCCATGTTTCACATACACAGTTAACATCAGCCAATTATTTTTTATCTATTTATTTATTTTAAACTTTCTTTACTTGCAAGGCAGTTGGTTCTGTTAATACTTACCAGTTTTGTTTGTTTACTTCCTGTTTACTCTAGGAAATACAAGCTCTCCGATTCGAGAGAGATTCTTTGGAGAAAGAGAAGGATGATTTGGCTATTCGTTTACAGGATCAGGAAAAGGCTCAGGAGGGTAAATGGATTCAATTTGTGTAATATCTTATTGTGAAATGAACCACCACGGTTTCATCTCAATTCATGTATTGCATTTAATTAGTAAATAAAATGGCAGTCTAAGGCTCATTTGAATGTATTTAGATATACACGATAAATATAAAAATGATATAAATCATACATGGAAAAGTAAAAAGTTGAATAAACTGCATGTTTCAGAGAGCCGGCAGCAGTCTGTGGATCAGGCAGGTGCATCAGTGCGAGCAGAGCTAGAAGAGGAGAGGAGGAGATACCAGAGTTTACTTAGAGAGTTCACGAGGCTAGAGCAAAGATATGACAACCTAAGAGATATGAGCCTATTCACCACCAATGAGGTACATCTTTAGAGAATTTGTAATGTATAGAAATATTAAAGGAATAATTGATGACGGGCGGTTGAATTATTAGGAAAAAAATGCACATCTCACCTCAAGATTTTGTTCAGATGTTGTATTTCAAGACATTTGTCAGGTTTTTGTCTTAAAAAAATTCTTGTGTGTAGGACTAATTTCTTATGCATCTCATCTTCTTACACCTCTGTTGCTAGTTCCAAAACATCATTTTACAGCTAGTAACGGAGGCTTGAGCCATTGATAGCAGACTAATGCAGTTATTAGAGAGAGATAGCGATAGAGAGAGAGAGAGACTACCCAGGCAGCAACATAGTGTCGGCCCAGATCCAGGCCACATCTGGTACATGTGGATTCCATGCTTGCCAAATGTGGGGCGAATCTGGGCCGACACTATGTTGCTGTCTGGCCTGGGTAAGCGTGTGTGAATTACCTGAGTCTCTGTGCGTCTCTCAACAGTATTCGACAGCAGTGTCTCTACAAATAGCGAAACTGTAAGTTTATCTGCTCCAAGAACAGCGCTGTTATTACCGCACTAGTGAAAAATTTCATGTATCTTTTAAGTTGCTAAACTATTTTACTGATAAAATCGTCAGAGCAACGCTGACAAACACATTTTTGTGCGAGTGTGTCGATACTGATGTGTGTGCGTTTGAGTGTGAGAGAGAGCGGGAGAAAGAGAGTATGTTTCCCTAAAAATAACTGCACACCTTAAAGTCCCTGTAAAGGCAATTCTAAAAAAAAATTCTAAACCCATAATAAATGTGAGAAATGTATTGCTAAAACATATTACAAAGACTGTGAACTGTGAATTACTGAATTGTGGAGTTAGACCGTTAAACAGTTTTTCACCATTGCTATTTTCCGGATTTTTTGGGTGGGGCTAAAACAGGGCTCGATGACGCACTGGAGCCCCTGAGCTCCTGGACACGCCCCTACTTGATGACGCACTAAGACCACTGAGGCTGGCTGGCCCCAGAGCACATTCGCATCAGTTTGGCGCTCAATCGCGAGTTACTGTCAGTACTATTAGTTACTACAGCCTACAGTTTGCTAGCTAGCTATGCCTTCGACACGGAAATGCGTAGGCTACTACCTGGATGCGATCATGTACAAAACAGATTGGTGTCTTTATTTAAATTTCCTAAAAACGATCACATCAAGAAGAGGTGGATTAATTTTGTGAAGAGCCAACCTTGATGGAGAGCTGAGGATCACCGCCAACACCCGCCTCTGTAGGTGGCGGGTGTCATCATTTTACACGGATAGTTTTATAAACTTTCGTCGGAGACAACTGGGATTCACTGATAATCCGCTGTTACTGGTGAATGAGGCCGAACCGACTCCCGCCTCGGCCTTCATCTCCCCGTCCCGAAAGCAGTATCAGCTAATATCAGCTAATATCACCGTCGGCAGCTTTCCTGCGAGTGGGCGTGGTTTCAGCGCAGCCAGTGGACACGCCCCCAGTGTTTGAGAGCAGAGAATAATGCTAATTTTTCCAAGATTTTGATAGCTTATTTTATGTACTTGCCGGCTTTTGTTATCATTCAAATTTGGCTGGGTGGCTAATAACACATTTTTCTGTGGTGTGACAAACTCAGAACACATACTTAACTTTGACTTTACAGGGACTTTAAACATTCGTCAACCAATCAGATCAACAACCCCGTAGTATAAATTATAATAAAATATATGTAAGAATAAAATAAAAAACAGGTACACGATGCCCCTGTACATGTACAAATATGAAAATATGACAATATACTGTATATTAACAAAAATAATTATGTAGGCTAGTAGCTAATGATAATATTTGTTTTCTAGTTTTATTTTGTGTTAACATTGTATTTAATCTTAAACGTAAGCAAGAATATATATATGTGTGCTCCCTCGCAGCATTCACGTGGACATAGGCGAACAGATTCGACTGTGTCTTTGGAGCCTCTTTCGCCCGTCACCACGCCGTTCTCGAGCTCGCCTATCTTCCCTTCTCCCGAGGAGATCAGGAGGATAAGCGTCACGTCAGCCACCGACAGGAGACCCTGGAGCCATGAGCAACCTCTGGTCAGACATTAAAAGTCTATTTCTAAAAAAAAAAAAAAAAAAAAAGCTATATATTGCAACAATAATGTGAATATATCTACCCACAGAACATCCTAATGGAGGATATGAGTGTTGCGAAGGACACAGCCGAGAGGATGAAGGGGGAAGATCTCAGATATGCGTACGATGCTGTACGGGTGGCCAACAAGTCAGTTTCCTTTCACTCATCTCACGTTCATCAGACTAATACATTCATTGAGACCTTAGAAAGTCATTGATGACTTATAGGCTATTATCGGCACTAAATTGTATGGTTCCAGGTTTCTAGAGACGCAGCTGTTGTCTCAGAGAGGGCAGTGGGAGCAGGAGATTTCAGCTCTCAGGATGAAACTCCAGCAGGCCCATGACAAAGATACCCCTGGAGATCCTGAGATAAATGTACCTGTTCCATCTGAACCTAAAATGTATTGTTCTTTGTACTATGTACTTTGTTCAGTTGTAATTTTTTGCTTCTTTATGTGTGTGAATGAAGGAACTAACGGAGCAGGTGGCGGTTCGAGAGCAGGAATGTGTCCGATTACGTCAAGAGCTCAAGGAACTGAAGCACACTGTGAGCCTCAGGAGAATCCTGTCTTATGCAGGTCTGTGTGGGTCCATTTAAAAAAAAAAAAACTTCTACTCTACACTTAAAACTAAAGGTTCCTAAAAGATTATAACATTATAAATGTCTTTACTGGCACTTTTGATAAATGTATTATGTGCTTGCTAAATAAGAGCATTATCATTTTTAAACTCTTTTGACGGAATTTTACAGCTTTACGTGTTTTCACGGTTATATGGTCGGGACCCTCCCTGACAGCAACTTAGTGTCGGCCCAGATCCGGCACATATCTTACCAGATGGGTTAGGGTTAGGGTGTGGCTTTCACACTGCCCAGATGTGGGCTGGATCTGGGCCAACACTAAGTTGCTGTCTGGTCTATTACGCATATTCTGAAAAAACAAGATTTTCTAAGCTTTTTGTTCCAAATGTCAGTTATTCTTTTAAAGCAGAGGCTTTGTTCTTTCTTTTGATATATAGTATGTTCAGATATACATACAACAAAATATTCTGGGGGCCATTACATTTTTGTGAGAATTATCAAAAACGCTTACAGTGGCTGGCAACTTAAAACGCTGGCGGAAAAGAGTTAAAAAAAATTTTACTGACCCCAAACGTTTGAAAGGCAGTGTGTCACACTTAAAAATGTCCTGCTCAGGTGTAGCGATAGCTGCGTCTCAGGACCCAACATCTCCTGGCCCTCAGAAGAGCCAGACACTCAGCGGACTACTGGAGTGCAGGAAAAGAGATGAGAGCAAGCTGATCAAACACCTTATAACAGGTCAACAACACACACAACAGTTGGTTTACTTTTGAGATGGTTATTCAAGCTGACTGACAGGATTTATCATTCCTCTGTGACAGATGTGAGGGCGGAGGGAGTTTTGTCTTTGTCCCCTGGACTGGCGGCCCGGGTTCTGTTTCTGTGTGTACGGCAAGCGGACTGTAGTGGCGATCAGACGCGAGTGAAGGGGCTCTGTGGCGCTGCTGTCAGCGCTATTAAAACTGCCATGAAGGTGAACAACAAACTTTTGTCAAACAAGCATTTATATCTTTACATGCCATCAATTTATGCTTCTTATCCCTTATTTGTTTATTTACGCTTTCAATAGAAATTAAACTCAATAGACCGCATTTGTGGCATAGGTTGATGTTGAATACCACAAAAATATTTGTATTTTCTTAAAATAAGAAGAAACAAAAATCGAGGTGATGGTGAGTCACTTAGTGAATGGTATGGAAGCTTGTTTCCACCATGGAATAAAAAACATTAAAAAGGTAATTGTGACTTTTAATCTCACAATTCTGTTAGATTTTTTCCTAATATTTGAAAGTCAGAATTTTGATATACTCGCATTTGAGAGAAAAAATGTCAGAATTGCGAGTTTATACCTCACAATTCAGACTCTTTTTCTCACATCTTAGTTTATATCTTACAATTTTGAGAAAAAAAGGTCAGGATTGCGAGATATAAAATCATAATTCTGACTGTTTATATCGGAATTGAGTTTACATCTTGCAATTGTGACTTTTTTCTATCAGAATTGCGGGATATAAACAATCTGACGAAAAAAAAAGTTAGATTTGCTAGAAAAAAGTGAGATTTTTGTGAGAAAAAATAGAGTTGCAGGATATAAACTCGAAAGTGCGAGAAAAGTCTGAATTGCAAGAAAAAAATCTGAATTGCGGAATATCAAAAAAGTCACAATTTCGCAAGAGAAAAAAAGTCAGAATTGCGAGAGAAAAAAAAGGTCAGAATTGCGGGATATAAACTCGCAGAAAAAAAGTCGCAATTATCTTTTAAATTATTTAAAAAATGAAACTTGTTTCGTCCACGGAATAAAAAAAATTAAAGGATAATTATGACTCTTCATCTCACAATTCTGGCTTTTATTCTCAATTGCGAGTTTACATCTCAGTCAGAATTGTGATAAAAAGCAATTACCTGTTTTATATAGAGCCAATTTTTAGAGGATTTAAAAGCAGAAATGCCTGCACCACTCTATTATTTGAGCGGTAAAGCTATTTAAATATTTTTACAGTCATTTTACAGTTTACAATATTGTCACATAGCCATAATTAAGTACGCTTAATTAAATTCAAGATAAACTATAAGTCTGTATCTAGGAAATGTGTGATGTGTGTAGAGTAGATTTTAAGATATTAATTGGTCATATTTGTGAACAATAGCAATGTGATTATTCTAGAAACACGGCAATGATCTGGATATGACGGCGGTGTGGCTAAAGAACGCTTACTTGCTCAAAGACCTGCTCCACCAGCACTCTCACCAACAGGTGACAGATCTGTACTCCAAATTATCGTTTTTATTTAGTATTTTTTTAACCCTTGGCAGAAATTACAGGCTTCAAATTGAAATATAATAATGATTTGATCCATGAAATGTTTGAACCTATTCTGGTGAAGGATGTGAGGGGCTGCGAGGAGCTGGTGCCTCTGGTGACGGACGTGCAGGAGTGTGTTCGAGCGCTCAGTGATGTGTGTATTCAGGCCTATCAGCAGCTGCTGTCCATCTCTGAGAGCCATCTACAACCTATGATCGGTACACTCATATAGACAGAGAGACCTTTCATACAGATCTGTCAATGACCTTGATTGTGTACTCATCTCTTTACTTCAGTCCCAGCAATGCTTGAAAGTGAGACCATCCCTGGTCTGGCTGGTTCATCTGTAAAGATTGTGGGCCGCAAGCGAGCGGGTTCGGACCCCCGGCCTCCCACCAGCACAGAGGGGACCACTATGTCTGCAGTCTTGAGGGAACTGTCAGCATTACACACAGCCCTGTCCCGTCAGGATCTGCCCTCGGCCCTGCTGGCACAAGCCTTCCGTCAGCTCATGTACCTGCTGTCCGCCACCACCCTCAACAGCCTGCTACTGCGCAAAGACATGTGCTGCTGGAACCGCGGCCTCCAGATCAGGTCTGTTACTTCAACATCTGCTTGAGGGAGTTGTGCATCAGATATTTATATCCTTCTATCATAGGTATAATGTGAGTTTACTGGAGGAGTGGCTGCGTAGTCGTTTGCTGCAGGCAGGGGGCGCTCTGGAGCCTCTGATACAGGCAGCACAGCTTCTTCAAATGAGCAAGAAGACTGAAGTGGATGGACAAGCCATGGTCCAAACCTGCAATGCATTGTCCAACCAGCAGGTGGCTATCTATCTATCTATCTATCTATCTATCTATCTATCTATCTATCTATCTATCTATCTATCTATCTATCTATCTATCTATCTATCTATCTATCTATCTATCTATCTATCTATCTATCTATCTATCTATCTATCTATCTATAAATTACAGGAACGTCTGTCTGTCTGTCTGTTAATCGAATATCTCTCGAACTGTTAGTCCGATGGATTTCAAACTTGACAGGTGTCTTGCTACCGGCACGAGTAAGTGCAGTGCTGAGTTTGACATTGTTTATATTAGAAATGCAAAAGATATCATTAAATGTATCTGTAAAAGAAGCACACATTGAAGTTGTGGTTTAAAAATAAACATTCTGACATCAGAGAGGGTTGTGGTTAAAAAAATGTGGTTTAAAAATAAACATTCTGTCAGCTAAACATTAAGTCAGCTACACTGTTTACTTCTGAAGTAAAAAAGTAGCGATTCTTTTCGAGAAATGTAGCGATTCTTTTCAAGGTTGTTATTATACATTTATTACAATGTAATTATACGTTTTCATAATGAAACTATGAAAAATTAGCGATTCACTTTCGAAAAAGTAGCGATTCTTTTTTGAAAAAGTAGCGATTTAACTGAATCTGTAAGTCAGCTACACTGTTTAATTCGGAATATTATTTTTTATTCTGGTGCGCTTAACGTTATCGTTTTCTCAGAGTTTAGGCTCCTGTGTAATAGTAGCCTAGGCTATTCAGCAACTCAAACATACCAAACCAACAATTACTAAAAACACACAAAAACTGACCTTGTAGTAATTTTGTAGTATATATATATATATATATATATATATATATATAATTCTAATTTATATTTACATACAAATATCTGAATGTAAATATAACTTATATATATAAAATTATTTTTTACTTAAAATGTAATTTTAAATTATTTATACATGATTTATATAAAATTATGTATAATTTATATTTATATAAAAATATGATATTAATTTGAATTAAATATTTATATTCAACAAATTTTAAAGATATTTTAAAAAATGTATTAATATATTTATTAATATATACTGTATGTGTGTATATTAAAAAATATTATGATATATATATCATTATAATATTGACTGTTATTTTTATAAATGTATATAAAAAATATATAACCTGATATAATTGTAATTTACACACACACACACACATATATATATATGTATATATATATACAATATATGAGTTATAAAAATAACACATATAGTCAATCTTATAATTGTATTATATATTAATATTAATGCTTAATATATTCATTCTTATATATGTATGTTTATGTACATACATACATACATATATATATATATATATATATATATATATATATATATATAAAAGAATTAATACATTAATTAACATTTTTAAAATAATTGTGTACAATAATAATAATAATAAAAGTGTGTACTGTGTATATATTACAAATAATTTAAATTATATTTATATACATATAAATGATGTATACATGGCTTACATAAAATGTACATACACACACACATATATATGATAAATTATACACAGTTTATATAATTTTATTTTTATATATAATAATTTTACATTAACATAATATTAAAAATCTTCTCACAGCTTGTAAAGATGTTAAGCCTCTACACACCTCAGAGTGACCTTGAAGAGAGAGTAACGCTCAATTTCATCCGTATAGTACAGGTAAGAGTGACATCATGTGAATGTGAGCGCTGTAACAGAAGATCATAGCAGGGTTTTGTCCAGGAGTGATAATGCTGCTTTTCTGTGGGGTTTCCCAGGGGCTGCTGAAGGGGCGCTCTGAGGGGCAACCTCCACAGCTTCTGATGGATGTCAGACGGGTGTTCCCCGTCACGTTCCCTTATCAGCCGCCTCCGCAAGTCACTGCCGCCCAGCTCGAAATCCCAGAGTCCCTCAAGATCTCCTTCCTACGCAGAGTTTGAATGTGGGTGTTCCTTTACCTCCTGAAAAGCTTTTTTTGTTTGTTGCTTTTGTTGCCTTATCAAGGTCACTTTAAAATGCTATCCCAGCATTTTGTATACATTGTTATCATGCAAATTTTGAGCCCATTGTAAATGTTTAATTATGTTAGCTTGACAAAGCCGACAAACTATCCATTCCTCCCACCTTATGTTTTAAAAAAAACAACTAAAATCACCTTTGAAATTAAATTATTTTAAAACTTACATGTCAGGCAAAATAAACTTTTGTCTTGATGAATCTTCCTCTTTTTGTTAACATTTTTCCATTAACCTTTTTTATAATGAAACACACGCACATATGCATACGTGTGTGTGTGTGTGTATATATATATATATATATATCTAGAGAGAGAGAGAGAGAGAATTTTTGGATAAATTGGAACAATTTTTTAAAAATAGAGATCACAATTCTGAACAGACAACTAAACATAACATAATTTACTAGAGGTACTGATGAAATGTTAATTGCTGCAGTCTATTTAAAAATATTTCATTTGAATTTATTAATTTAAAAAAAATCTGGTTCAATTCAATGACTCACTCATAAATAATTCACTTGTGAATTAGCGTTTTTGAACAAATCTCTTGAATGAATGATTCAATGACACATACATTTTTAACAGTCCCTTGTCGGCACCTACCGTTGTAACAATGTAATCGACATCATTTTTTTAAGTTACTTTCAAAAGGTGATTTACTCATATTTTGATCGCTACCGTAGACCTAATTTTGATGCATTCTAAATGTATTATCTTTCTTTCTAAATATTTGTATAACTTAACTTTTTCCCATTTAATAAATAAATACAACATAATATAAGAATGTGTTTAACAAAACAACAACAAACAGACTATTGCACAATGTATTTTTTAACCATTTATTGGAAGTAGAAACAAACCAAGGCTGGCAAGTGTTTTACCTCCATCCCCGATAAGAACGATCATATTTAGAAAAACAAAAATTAGAAACATCTTTGTATAAAAAAATCTCTCATGCTAGTACTCTGTACCACTACACATCAGTAATACATATTTATATATTCACAAGCCTTTCAAAAATAGAAAATAATACCCAATTATCAAAATAAATGACAAAAAATAAATAAATCAAGAGAAATAAATACAACAATTGAATATCACATCAAAGATACATGCTGGCACAAGAAGAATCTTTCCCAACATGCACTGCTTCTTATATACAGGCAAGGAGTGGCTGTTTGGGTGCGTGTGGAGTTATTGGGCGCAGTGTGCACTTGTGTCTGTGTGTGCTTTGTCTCGTACTACATGCTCACTATATCCTGTAATATTATTATTCACAGTCAGCAACACACAGCTTTAACATTAGAAATCCTATCATCCAAATCAGAGCATTTTCTTGCTACAGATGCAATTTTCCAGTCGGCAGTCATTTCAACATTCATTAATGCCATTTCCTGTGATTGAACCCTACAACGATGAACACTGAAGGATTCAGTATGTAAAACAAAACCAGCGAAGTTTGCAGCTGCGGGTTGTGCCGACCATTCGCGATGTAAACAATCCAAGGCTGTTGACCACTGATGATTCTGACTGATGCATAGACTATTTTTAGAGAAATAATATAAGGAAACATAAAAAAATAGCTGTAGCGCAAGGTGCTTAATGGCTAAATTCACTATGCGACGAGATAATTTCACCTAAGTAGATCAATAGCGCGGTTCATTTTGACACTTATGGTTTAGCGCAATACAGCAGGAAGGAATGAATATAGTGTTTAAACCACATTATAAAGCGTCTCTCTTGTGCTTTTCTAATATGGTGGATGGTTTGGCAGTAAAATGGCAGGATTCATCAGCGGTTACTATGGCAACTCTATAGGAGTGATTCTCAACGGCTGTGATTCTTTTGAGGTGTGAAACCAGAGATTGCTGTAGAGGGGGGAAAAGCCCCATTTCACATGGAATGATCTGGAGTGGTATGACATTTAACTGTGATGTAATAAAGTGAAATCTCACTGAAACAGGCAGCTCTGGTGTCTAATATAAGCAGTGTTTGTCAATCCAAACTTGCACATATACATCGTGCCTTATCATGCCGACAAACACTTGATAAACTGCACAGGCACTCGCACTTGAACAGATCGGAAAACATATTAGATTCACAAAAACAGGACAGAGTTGGCCTTGTGATTGAATCTTAATGTGCGAAGCATCTTTACAAAGTGTCAGTATCTCATAGTCTTTACAATAAGTATAATTTGTTGGATTTCCTGCAAGTGGTGTCTCCGAAAAATACATTTCATCCCACACCCAAGACATTTTCATACTACAGGAAAAAGCAACCACTCTGCATTCAGAGGTGTATTTGGTTGTAGGTCTATTTTTCCCCCGCAATTTTCTTGTGCTTCTAAACGATTGCATAACATTAAAGTCTGACCCATAGTGGGTTTTGGTCCCTAATAAGTAGGTTTGGGGGTGAAATGGCGGTACATAGTGGAGAAACGATACCCTGACATTAAGACACCTTTAGAAGGGTGCAGGAATGATTGACAAAAGGCCTCACTAAAGAGGTTTTCGACATCATTACAGATTGCTTGATATGGAAAAAAAAGTGTTTACATGCCTTAATCTGGTTATATTTCACAGATGTATTTTTTTTTTTTTTAAATCTAATTAATCTAAATATATTTTTTATGTAATTACTATAATATAACATTTCGTTATTATTATTATTATAATAAATAATTTTTTCTGGATTTATATTTTGATACGTGTGAACTGATAGTGATATTTAATGTTTTGCAGAATAAATAGATAAATGTGTTGGATTTAAGTAACTTTTTTCCTTGGAATATGCATTATAAAAATCAAGGACATCACAAACATCAAGTATTTAAAAGATACAATATCCTGTGTCTGTTTCATGTGCCAAATTGTGCTTGTTAAACAAGCCCTTCCTGGCAGGTCTAATGGCAGTGCACTGAGTACAAATATATAACTGCTTTGTCACGTAAACGGTTGGTCATTAAAGTGAAGAACCAAGATAAATATGTCTTGTGTTTTTTATCTGTGTGCTAGTGCAACATCTGAGCATTAGGGGGCAGTGTTTTCGACAAAATAACTGTGCCTCACTAGATACTTCCTGGTCTTAGCTCCGCCCCTCCTCAGCAGAACGCTGGTCGGATTTGAGTTTGACAAATTCTTTCGCGACGTCGTCGTTGTTGCGCTGGGACAGGATTCGCAGAACGGTCAGGCCGGTTTCGTCCATGTGAATGCGTTTACCTAGCGGTAGCCAGCATGCTACGCTACCCCGCGGTGCTACGTCCTTTAGCTGCAGTACCGCCATTCCAACGGTGCGGTCCTCTCGTGCAAAGCAGTAGTCTTTCACGCACACCTGCAGCTCGTAGCACTCCGGACCCACTTCGTTACTCAACGTGCTTTGGGAAAGAAGCAACAACACCAGGATTTAAATTTAAATTTAAATCAGGAACTGTAACATAGACAGTAGTACGGAGAAACTGAAACGCAAGCTAAAGAAACAAGTGCATGCCACTTACAATGTAAAGGTCTCGTTGTATTTTGGAGCCCAGCTGTTGTTCTTGGACTTAGTGGCGTACTTTCTCTTCTTATCGCTGAGATGAGGGCCAATGATATAGACCTCCACGAAGGGCCGGAAAATTCCAGAAGTCTGCCAACGTAGGTCATTCGCAGCCACCACTAAAAAAAACAAAGAAATACACTGAATTGTTCAAATTTCTTAGACTTCCCTTTACTTGTGTCCTATTATACTGCAAAAATTAGGAAACTTGAGGGACCACTTGGTCTATTTCTCAGGAAAAATGCACAAAAACCTATAGGGGTAAAACAGCTTGTCACTGGGGCAGTACCCTTAAAGCAGGGGTGTCCAAACCTGCTCCTAGCAGGCCACTGTCCTGCAGAGTTTGGCTCCAAGTTGCCTCAAAACACCTGCCTGGAAGTTTCTAGTATGCCTAATAAGAGCTTGATTAGCTGGTTCAGGTGTTTAATACGGTTGGAGCTAAACTCTGCAGGACAGGGACCCCCCCCAGAAGCAGGTTAGAACACCCCTACCTTAAAGGGACACCTTTATATCTTATTTACCCCTAAAATGTTCATAGTATTCCCTTAAAAGTACATATTATGACTCTAAAGTACTAATATGCACCTTTTAAGGGTAGATAAGGTATAGTTTTAAGGGTACTGCCCTACTGACAAGCTGTTATAGCCCTAAAGGTACAATTGTTGCAGTTTTTTGGAGAACCTCTAGGCACTAAGTTCTCAGAGGAACCTAAAAGATGGAAGCCATAAGTACATGCAAGAACTCTAAAGATTGTCAATGGTTTTGAAGCACTTGACATGAGTTTCTAGTGGTTTTCCAGTGGGTGATCAAAGGAACCAAAATAGTGCCTCACATTCCATCTCATTTTTACAGTGTAGTCTCTCCTTGACATTCTTCCTGTTACACTACAAAAATTAAGCTACTTGAGGGACAATTTTGGGTTCCTTAGATCCCAATATTAGAAGAACCTCTAGGCATGCTTTGAAATAGGGAAGTTCTCTAAAGAACTTTCAAAACGAAAACCCAAACTTTGTGCAAGAATCCCAGCCTGTCAGCGATTCTTCTAGCAACGCCATTATATAGAAAAAGTTTTGAGCCTCTTAACAAGGGTTCATAGAGGTTTTCCAGAGGATTCCACCACATATACTTTTAATTTTTATTCTAGACATTCTTCCCATTACATGAATCTACTTGAGCCTTTAAATTAGCACACAAGGAAGACATTTTAGAGAACCTCTGGACCCCCTTTAAAAAGGGGCAATTCTCTGAGGAACTTACAAAATGGAACCCAGAATTGAATGCAATAACTCTAAAGACTGTCATCACTGGTTCCTCCAGGAACCCTACAGTAAAGAAAAGATTTGAGAACTTCCTTGAGTACACAAGATAGCTGAGGCACCTTCAAATGGGTGCCTAGAGGTTCTTCAAAGGGTTCCTTAGCTTTATGTTTCACCTTAATAGAAGCAACTTCTTCCACAGTTTAAAATCAAGGAGGAATGCAAACAGGCTTTAGTTAAAAATGAAGAAGCACTACGTACCCTTCACTGTGACTTTGTGCTCTCCAGTATTTGGATGAGTGAAGATCTCCACATGGATAGACACCTCTCCAACTGCATCATCAACACCAGTACCTGCAGACAAGACGAGACAAGTCAAGACTCCATTTCTGGTCGGTCAGGATACTTTGCATCGGTATGGCTCAATGGAACTTCTAATCACTTCCTTTATGAATTCAGTAATCACAGAGTCATACAGAGGCAATGTATGCTTTGAGCTATTGGATTATAAAGAGGTTTAAACAGCGTAATGATGTTGAACCTGGCTCGAGAGATCATTAATAATATGAAAAGGAATTCAGGTAGTTCTTCCATGTTGAAGCACTTTATAAATACAAATTCAGAGCTTACTGTATTGATCCGAGTTCAAATGTGTTTTTTTTTAAAATTCCCACAGAATCTTAAATTAAATGTATAATAATTTAGATAAGAGAGCTAATATACACTATTTAAAAAGACTGAGCTGTACAAATTTGACTTTACTTAATTGGGGTGATCCATTTGTGAACTTTTAAAAATGGTATAGTACTGCGTCAAAAGATGCAAATAAGCTCTGAAAATGATTTAACAAGTGATCCCTGCAACACATCTCTAAATCTGAATTTGTGAGGCTTATTCAGGCGAAAAAGTTGGTACACTTTATCCCAGTGTCTGTGTACAGAGCTAACAGCTTCTTACAGCTAGCTAGCTAACAAAAATAGCAAGCTAATGTCCCAATGAAAATCTGACAAGACTTGAAATAATCAATGAAAATAGCTCACAATACACAGACAACCAAAATAAAGTAATGCCTCACAGGATTCTTTTGCAACAAAGTGTGTACAATACAAAGAGAAGTGTGTTTCCTCAGATTATCATGAGTGTACCATCTGCACACATGCTGTGTGGTCACACTTGATTTCTGGTTTTTCATGAAGGGTTTATAACCATGATGGGGAGGGGGGGAGAGCAGTCCTATTGGTCCAGTCATTCATAGGAAGGAGAAGACAAGGAGAACATGTGATATTGTCCTTCACTTGGTTTCAATGCAGGCAGGTACATGCGGAAAACCACTTCCATTCCCACACATCTGCATTCACACTCATGGAAAGCTGCCATGGTCTTTGGCATACAGTATGCTGTTTTGATTCACTTTTGACTCAACTAAATGCGACTTAAGCATCTAAAACTTGTGCATCTCTCCACAGAATCTAGGTCAGCTGCAATCAAATAATAATTAAAGAATGGGTTGCTTTCAGCATCTGTTATATGTGTGTGCCTGTCAGAGAAACAGGCTGATAATGCAGTTTCTCTTTAGAGCGGAACTGTCTAAGCAAGAGGGGATTTGAAAAAGCTTGAACAGCGGCATGTTAACGTTGACGCTGACGGCTGTTGATGCAGCACTTTATGACTGTTTCTAACCAAACAGCATCTGGGTAAATGTCACAAAACCTGTCAAGAAATGTCCGGGTCATATTTAACCACAAAATCAGAAATTGTTCATAAAATATTTGCAATAGATATTTTTTAATTGTCTTAAATATAAATTAAATGTACAATAATTAATTTTTATTTAGAATAATTTAGCTAAAATTGTAGATATAATATTAAAAAACATTTGTAATATATTATATATTTAAAAAATATATATATTTAGCATTATTTAGCAATGAAAAAAACATGTACAGATATATTTTACCCCTAAGATTTTTTTTAATATAATGAAAAATCTAAATTAACCTAAAAAAATAATAAATATTTGCTAATATATTAAAAAAGTTACATATTATATATAATAAATAAAGAATATTTGATATATCATTTTTATATGATATTATCATAAAAATATTATCATTTTTATATGATAATATATATAAATATATATAATATTTAACTCTTTTAGGTTCATTAAGATTTTTTGCATTATGCAATATTTTCATGAAAATATGCACTCTAACCCATATTAAAAACTTTTTGAGAATAAGTAAACACTAATTTGGCTCAAGCATATCAACGTCTAAGATTGGTCAGTTTGAAGCAACATAAATCACATCTCAAGTTATAATCACATATAGCCACGTGATTTTTTTTGCGGGGCCCTTAAATGCCAATTTAGATCCTTTTTGACCTGATGTACACTGACAGAAAGCACATCACCTGACCCCAGGAGCGAACTCTGATTGGCTGAGGGAGGGTTGTCTTGAGCCTAAGGGATGAGACTAAAGGGAGGGGAAACCACGTTGCGTGGTCGTGAGGGAAAATCACGCAGAGCAACAGAACAGACCCTGCCTGCGGACAATCTGAGTCAGTCGCAATTAATGTCACATCTACATACGACAACGTGATTCAGCGCTTGGAAAAATAACGTTTCGTCACGGCCTCTCACTCGTTTCTCACTGTCACTCAGTGTACACATGCACCTCACACTGCAGAAGTGCGTGCATTCCTCATTCACTGCCATTCAAAACACACTTCATCCTGGGCTTTCTTGCTGCTGTAGCGTCAAGATACATTTCAGACCAATGTATGCGAACATACAGCATGTTCTTTCCAGGTACTCATACATGCAAGGCCCTTTCTGTGGGAAGATATGGGTGGTCGTGGGGCATGCGATTGGCCCGTTGGAATGGGAGGTGCATGATCTGATTCGGGTGGATCACTGATTAGTTCTTCGTCATGAAGGGCACCGGGCCCCACGTGAACGTACCCTTCTCTGGGTACACGTCTTCACTATGGCTGAACCTTACCCCCTTCCCTCCATGAACTGGTGAAAGAGAAGGAGAGGACGCAGAAAAATACAGAGAGAAATTGAGACCACATAGTGATGGGGATTTGAGAGATGGAAAGGAAGAGATACAGAAGAAGAAAAAAGATACAGTCCAACAAGCTCAGCAAATGTTAACAGTCTTTAGCAGTCCATCTTCAACCTGCTGTGGATTTTCACAGACACATACACACATTTGCACACACACTTTATTTTTAATATGTGTTTAAATACTTAAATGTAGTAGTGAGATTTACTCTAATTACATTTTAAATGATAATCTATTAAAATTGCTCTGCCAGGGGCGTCTCGGCCTAAAGTGTGTCAGGATTCCCAAAGTGTGTGAGGGAGAAAAAGAAAGACGGAACTCAGATTAAACACTAAAAGAAAATGCAATATTCTTTTCATAAAAATAAAATTAAAAAAATTATATATATATATATATATATGTATAAAGCAAAGTTATGGAAGCTTGTTTCCGCCACAGAATAAAAAATAAAAAAAGTATTTTTTCTCTCACAATTCTGACTTTTTTTCTCACAATTGCAAGTTTACATCTCTCAATTCTGACTTTATCTCACAATTACGTCAGAATTGCGTGATAAAGTCAGAATTGCGAGTTTATTTCTTGCAAATCTGACTTTATAACACGCAATTGCGAGTTTATAACACAATAAAGTCAGAATTGTGAGATGTAAACAATTGTGAGATAAAAAGTCGCAATTGTATCGAAGCTTGTTTCCGCCACAGAATAAAACATTTTAAAAGACAAAGTAATGTTTTAAAAAATATATAAAATATATAATAATTAGTTAGGATAATTACTGCATCTAACATAAAAGTTTGTGTATATATATATATATATGTGTGTGTGTGTGTGTGTGTATATAAATATATATACAGTATATACACACACATACATATATTATATATATTTACAAACTTTTATGTTAGATGTGATTAATCACGACTAATCAATTTGACAGCACTAATAATAATATACATAATACTATAATTTTATATATATCCTAATTTTATTAAAGACTGATGTTGTGTAGAGGTAGAGAAAAGGTAAATAATATTTAAAGGCACAGCGAGATGTCTGGAAGAGCCTTACCTTGTGTATTCTGGGACTGAACGAAGGTCTTGATGAGTTTGTCGGTGGCCTGAGTGTAGAGGGACAGGGCGTAGTGCAGAGACAGCAGGTCTGGACTCTTCTCAAGGAACGTCTTCTTCAGTCCCACACCTCCAGCATGGAAATATTGCTAAGAAACCCCAAAACAACAGAGAATGCTTGAGACCATGCTGTCTGTGTACGGCACGTCGGGATGCCCAAACAAACAAGAGCAATATTTTGATAGCTACAAAGACACAGTTGATTAATTGTGTATATTCCCTGTAATAATGTTGATTCCCTGAAAAATACCTGGGCTTCTCTGCTTATTAAACTGGTTTTTAACATTTAAAAAATCTATATTATATTCTGCTCTACATCACAAGGTGCAAAAAAGCATGACTGAACGTGTAAAGTGAATAATACAATGAAGGATAGTGATGTACAAATTGCAAATAAAACACATCCTTGTGTATCAGAGTTATGTTTTTTTTAAATTATTGAAAAAAAAAGAATGAATATTCTACATACAGTATATGTAGTGTAGAAGTAAGAAGGTAACTATAGTTATATATTTCCATTATATTCAGTGACCCACTATTTGAAGCACAATATTGCTGATGGTGTCGTCATCACAAACCAGTGGAAGACCATTCTTACACTGACATTCAGCTCTTTACACACACCTTTATAGTATCCAGTGCTAACTCAATCACTGCACACTGTTTAGGGGACAGTGCCTTGGCCTCCTCACGAACCATGTGCTCCTACAAAAAGAACAAAAGTTTATTAGGACAAAATACAATGATCTTTTCATAATTAAAATTGTTATTCCAGGTTCATTTAAACTGTGCACAAAAATTAAGAGAAATTTTTAATTAAAAAATAATTTAGGTGTTATACTGCATATACAAAATTAATACAAAAAATAATAGTGTTTATTTTATTTTACCTGTGACAATGAAGAGACAAATGACATGTTAATTAATTTTTTTTAATTCAAACATATTTAATGTTAAACTGATAAAAAAAACACTTTATTTATTCATATAGTGTTTATAAAACTATATAAATAAAGTTTTAAAATACAAATTCTTTCAAATAATCATTTACAAATATTTACTTAATATTATTCATATTCATATGATATTTGACCTAAATATTAATTTATAAATATTTATACATTTTTCAAAATGTTACTAAAATGTCATTTTTTGGCTACTACAAGTACGCATTTCAGAAAATTTCGGAAAACGAGTACGAAAAATTCTGTCAAAAAATAAATAAAAATATAGCTGCGAGCAGCGATTACGGGCCCAAGCCGGTGGCACCGCAACCCCGGTGCCTTTAGTTACCTAAAGGCACCGGAGTGGCGGTGCCGCCGGCTTTGGCCCTTCATCGCTGCTCGCAGCTATATTCATATATATATATATATATATATATATATATATATATATATATATATATATAAACAAGCCGGTGGCACCGCCACCCCGGTGCCTTTATATATATATATATATATGTCTACATTGTTCAATCACGCCTCACACACACACACACACTTTTGCAGAGCCCACACCAATGCAAGCTCTATAGCACACATCTTCTCAAAGGTCAAAGCGGAGTTACGATATTGCCCGTCATGCACAGTAACCCTAAAGGCACCGGGGTGGCGGTGCCACCGGCTTGTTTATATATATATATCGTATTATTCTAACTTGTAAAAAACTATTAACTTTTGTTAATATTCAACCATTTCACAACTAACTTTTTTCCATAGATCAAACACAACATAATTATATGGTGGACTGAAACAAAAATTATTAATTAAATAAAATTATTGTTTTCCTCTGAAATAGCAAAAGCATCACACACTAGCTGTACCTGCTCTAAATAAAAAATAGTAATTCAATAAAAATACAAAATCGAACTAAATAAAATAAATTATTACAAAAACAAAATCAAACCAAATAAAATATATCTTCGAAAAAAAAAGCGAGTGTCATGAGGAAAGGCGCCTCAGGAATCGTCAGGATTAACTCCATGTGTAAGGAATTTTGATTGATTTTATTTGTCACTTGAAAATTATTGTTAAATGTGTGCCTGCATAACTTTAATAAGATTTATTTTCTTTGATTTGATTTTGTTTTATATAATTTATTTATTTCGATTTTGTATTTTTATTTAAATACTATTATTTATTTAGAGCAGGTACAGCTAAGTGTGCGATGCTTTTGCTATTTCAGAGGGAAAAAAACACATTTTATTTCAAAAAGGCTTTTCAATTAAATAAAATGTTCAAGCTTTGTTTTCGTTTTATTATTTTGTTTGTTTTAAGCTTTGTTTAATTTATATTGTTAATCATCTGACACAAAACAAATGCATAAAGTATCATTTTAACTTTTAAAAAACTATTAACATTTGTTAATAGTACATTGCCTGTCTTTTGTTAATAGGACAAAACATAGTTATTATATTTTATAATATTTTATAAATATATAAAATAAACATTTGTAATGAAATCGTTCAAAAAAATTATATTAGCATTGTTTTAAACTTTGAAATAGAAGTAGCGCAATGCCTGGCCACTCCCGCGCCGCCTCCTTTTCACAATCCGAGGGAACCGTCTCCGGAATATTAACCTCACTCCTAGAAGTCCAATTCTCATTATTCATGCCTCTTACCTGGGATTGATTGCACACACACACACACACACACACACACACACACACGCACGCACGCACGCACGCACTCACACGCACACACACACACACACACACACACACACACGTGTCAAGTCACTTACATTTTAGATGCAATATTGACTGTTCTTCTGTTTCAGCAGCGAAAATAGTTAAACAAAGATCACAGCAGAACCATTGCATCTCACAGCAACGTGTTTTCTCATTACTGAATGATTCAGCATTTTGAACAAATTGGTTGACTCAAAGATTCAATGACCAATCCATAAACATCTGTCTCATTCATGAATCACTCAGTCGTTCAAACGAATCGTTTGAACGAATGAATCAATGACCCGCTCATTAAGACGGTCGCCTGGCGACACCTAGTGACGGTTTAGTGTTATTTGATTATACACTCAAAATATTCCACAACAAATCCTTTAAATTTAATGATATTCAGAACAGAACACGAATAAAAAAATAACTATAATAAAGCCAAAACGAAATAATTTAAAACAAAAGTAAAAGTAAGTGGTGTTAGGCTCACGTAAATCTCTCTTTAGAATCTAAATGTTGCAACATTTGCGATGTATTTGGATGCTAAACTATTCTTTATTACAGGCTTTGTACTTCACTCACGTTCCAATATCGACGGAAAAAATCATCCTCTTCACTTGTGCAAAAATGTGCTTGGAAAAATCACAGTGGAGCGGTGCTTACTGTGAATGATACAAATTGTACTACTGACTATTTCAACATAGCAGTGTAATTTGTATATGTTAGGTTGAATGTTTTATTATTGTGTGTGTGTGTGTGTGTGTGTGTGTTTGTGTGTGTGTGTGTGTGTGTGTGTGTCAGTGTGTGTGTGGGGGTCTGGGTGGCTCAGCGCGATTGAACAGTGAAACATACTCCGTCATTTTCTTCATACAGGACATCATTCAAACGTCAAAGTGTTTACTTATATTTGTGTACACTCGCAATAAAACACAACATTGTGTTTTTGTTAAATAAATTAAAGTAATACGTCCCCCGAAATGGCGCTAATTTTAAAATGAAACTAAAATGCTCACGGCTGCACGGGCATTCATAACTCTGCGCGCCCACGGTGAGGGACGAGCAGAACAGAGCGAACGTTGTTTAGTTCATTCCTACTTCCATAGGAATTAATTGAAAAAGCTCACTCTACTCTGCACCATTATTAATGAATTGTGCAGACGTTCTTATTTTACTTTCGCTTTTTACCTGATTTTGAACACAAGAGGGCAGTATAACACTATGTATGATTTGGAAAAAAAATTTTTTTGACTAAACAACCATTCTGGCTGTTTTTAAACTTAAACATTATTCTCTAATTGCTCTCACCACGCCCGTTTCTGAAACTCTGCACATGTCTACTGTCTAATAAATGTGATGTGTCTGTCGGGTTTCATGCAATTTCAAGTATGTTAAGAGTCTCAAAAGCATCAACAAAGAATAATAAAGTTTGATGCGTTGCCACGGCAACAGTATCTAAGATATCAATAATCCTTTCTCAGGTCTACATCTGCCGTGTGTCTACATTATACACATAAAGTTTGAAGCAAATTGGGTAAAAATAAGAGGGTGATTTCAAAGCCTTTAGGAAGTGACACACTTCCTGCTGCCAGTTGGTGGCGCTATAACTTTGACTCACAATAGTCACATCCATGTGATCGGACTCTTACAGCGAACACACTGCTGAAGTTTCATCAAGATCAGTTAATGTATGCAGAAGTTATAACACACTTCCTGTTTCCTTTATTCGCCATAAATTCGTTTCCTCGCCACGGCCAAACCGTTCGAGATATCAAAAATCCCCTGGCAACTTTTCATCCTCAATGTCTTGACTTCATGCTGACCGAGTTTCGTGGCGATTGGTTGAATTCTCTAGGAGGAGTATATCGAATTCCAGGGGCATACGCTTCCAAACAAACCATAATAGCCGACTTCCTGTTGGGCTGGGGTAAAAAGTAAAAGTACAAAGGATATATGAATCGATGAGATCTATATGTGTACCGAGTTTCATATTATTACATTCAAGCGTGTTTGATTTATGGACCAAGTTTTCGGACCCTGTTCCAGGGGGCGCTGTCGAGCCCCCCTGCCACGCCCGGGTACCAGCTTCAGCCCGGCCCTGATGGCCGCGGGTTCTGACCCGTGTGCAAAGTTTCAAGAGTTTTTGAGCATGTTAAGGGCCCCAAAAGTGCGCTGAGAGTCTCAAAAGTATCCAAAAAGAATATTAAAGTTTGATGCGTTGTCACGGCAACAGCATCTAAGATATCAACAATCCTTTCACAGGTCTACATCTGGCTTGTGTCTACATTATACACATCAAGTTTGAAGCAAATCGGGTAAAGCCTGTTTGATTTATGGACCAAGTTTTCGGACCCCGTTCCAGGGGGCGCTGTCGGGCCCCCCTGCCACGCCCGGGTACCAGCTTTAGCCCGGCCCTGATGGCCGCGGTTTCTGACCCGTGTGCAAAGTTTCAAGAGTTTTTGAGCATGTTAAGGGCCCCAAAAGTGCGCTAAGAATCTCAAAAGTATCCAAAAAGAATATTAAAGTTTGATGCGTTGTCACGGCAACAGCATCTAAGATATCAACAATCCTTTCACAGGTCTACAACTGGCTTGTGTCTACATTATACACATCAAGTTTGAAGCAAATAGGGTAAAGCGTGTTGGATATATGGACCAAATTGTCTGACCCGTTCAAGGGGGCGCTGTCGAGCCCCCCTGCCACGCCCGGGTACCAGCTTCAGCCTGGCCCTGATGGCCGCGGGTTTTGTCCCGTGTGCAAAGTTTCAAGAGTTTTCGAGCACGTTAAGAACCCCAAAAGTGCCCGAAAGCATAAAAAAGCATGAAAAAGCTTAAAAAAAGGAATATTAATGTTTGATGCATTGCCATGGCAACAGTATCTAAGATATCAATAATCCTTTCACAGGTCTACATCTGGCGTGTGTCTACATTATGCACATGAAGTTTGAAGCAAATCGGGTAAAAATAAGAGGGTGATTTAAAAGCATTTTGAAAGTGACACACTTCCTGCTGCCAGTTGGTGGCGCTATA